ATCATTATAAAAAGGCAAACGTTGTGTTTAATTGTGTTATTCGATTTTGCCCGAAAAGAGGAAACAATCACGCCACGACTGAGCGCCGCCAATCGAAACCTCGCGATAGGCCGCCTTGAAGCTGGGGAGCCGCAGTCTGCAGTTGCCCGACATCTCAATGTTAACGTTCACCAGAGCACCTCCTCTCCTTTGGATCGTTTCCTGCAGACCGATTTCGCCCAAGATCACCCGAGAAGAGGCCGTCCAAGAGTTACCACCCAAGACCAGGACCGCTACATCCAGGTTGCTCACTTGTGTCATCGTCTGTGGAGACTGCACAACGCATTCCTGGTTTGAGAAGAATTTCCGACCAAACTGTCAGGAATCGATTGCTTCAAGTTGGAATTCGACCAAGAAGGCCAGTTGTCGCACCTGTTTTGAGACGCTTCCATCGGTCCATCGGCGCAATCGCTTGCGGTGGTGACGTAGTGTCTGGAACTGGAACATTAAAAACGGGAAGCGAATATGGCTCAGTGATGAATCACGATTTCCTCTTCACCGCCGAGATGGAAGACAGCGTATTTACCGTCGGAGAAATGAGCGGTTTGCCGCTAATTGCATTCGGCAGGTCGACAGATTCGATGGAGAAAGTGTCATGGTATGGGGTGTAATATCCAGCCCACAAAGATCTGATTTAGTGGTGGTTCAGGGGAATTTGACAGCAAATCGGCACATCAACAAAGTCCTTGCACGTCACATGCTTCCGGTTATGGACCGACAGAGTTGTTCCACCATGACATGGCTATTTCACTTACAACACGCGGCACGGTCCGACATCTTGCCAATTCTAACGTCAATGTCTTACCATGGCCTTCCCGACCACCAGATTTAACACCAGATAGAACACCAATAAAGGCTTTCTCTATGTACGTGTGAATTTTCACCTTTTTACCATTGAAATTACAGGAAATAATTGCTCTTAAACTAACGCAATAAATTCTTCGAAAATGTCTTATGCGTTTCTTTTTTGTTTGAAGAGTGTACATTACATAACCTCCACACATTTTAGCATGGCATACTTCATGCTGGGTGATATGTAGGCTGTACATAAATTCTGATTCTTGACTGACCACTGTTATTTTCCCCCAAATACTTCCCAAAATGATTTTACCGCCACAGTCATTATTGGGAAAACCTGACTCTGACATCTTGAACACATTCAAACCAGTATTAGTTACAACGTTCACAGTCACATGGGGAAACATGATTCAAGGTGGGGGACTTGACAAGGAAGGTTTTACTAGCTGTATGGAAACTATTGTGAAACAATGGTGTAATTGGTTTACATGTTTTTTGTTAAGATTCCATAGTTCATAACACTGATTCGACATGGCCAGGAATATTTATTATGTAAGGAAAGCGGTGGTGTGGAAATGATTATATTTGGGTGCTTTGGGAGGCCATTATAAGTTGGAATGTTCTAGAACCAGCATGATGTGGAACTTCCTTTCGAGGATGTATCTCGACTATATAGGTTGACAGGCGACTGGCTCTGTCATCTCCCACCAAGTCAACAACAGCAGTTCACTGAAGATTATTCCAGATGATTTCCAGGCCAGGTCTAGTTTGGATGTGTGAAACAGTTGCTGCAAGATGGTTATCAGATTTGAAATGATAAAATTAACAGTGAAACAAAGTAACGCTGGCAGTCATTGCCAGAGTAGGCCTTCAGAACCTCGTGCTTCTCGTAGACAATTGGTTACATGGGCTGCGGTTGATCAGATTCACTGACATTTTACTGTAACAAAGGATATTGAAGATTACGCTTTCTCAGTTGTACAGAATCTAGTACTGTTGGTATTAATCCCGTCCGGGTTGAGACACCCATTGACCCTCAACGTCCGCTATCTAACCCAGCAATCGTGGCTGCCTCAAAGTGGAATCTACATCACATTGTGTACCCTTCTGACAAGTGTAAGTTGGCATGGCTGCCATGAACACATAAGGACTTTCCCTATAAGGTATCGATAAAGACACCATGGAACAAACCAATTAATAATTAAATCGATGTGAACCAACTGTTTCGTTGCTATACGGATGAAAAATGCCGCAGCCACGTTTATTTTTAACTCGCTCTTTGAATTCTCCTCTAGCTAGACTTCGCACTTCCAAAAGAAATATTGTTTGTGAGCTTCAGCTAAAACATTACATGCTGTTTCCAGAGAGGAATATATAATGTCACTGGGCAGAACTAGTTTCTCGGTGTCCGTTACATATGTTAACATATGATGGTAAGTAGCTGGCTTTTTGTGGTGATACAATGTATTTCTATGAAAAACTGTTGTCGTCCAGTTCAATGTCGGCTGTGTGAACGGTAATTATCTGTAAAATGTATAGTTTCTTTGTTCCATGTAGTCGCCGCAATTTACCACCACATAAGGGAATACATATACGTTTACAAAGACGCCATATACAGTACGACCAATCTATGAATTTGACTTTTTTTTGCCTCAAAGTGAAAATCTTCAACCCAATTTCTCATTTTAAAATAAGAGGAAAACAAGATTCCGAAACAAATATTTTTGGTTGTTATACTGCATTTCTGTCTAAACCCTCTCTCCTCTTAAAAACAAGAGTGACCTTGTCTTAATCTATCCGTGGCAAGTGAGATTACTAATGATAAACTAGGCTGGAATGAAGGCGTCACACTTCAGCTGCGCTAACGATTCTAAGCCAAATCCAGTCAAAATCGTAACCGACTTCCGGTTTATGAACAACATGGCGACTGCGGAGGAGATTTCGGTCTATGTCAGGACTTACAGAGAATGTGTGCCATCAGGAGAGCGTCGACAGATATTTATACATTTTTTCGTGTTTTTTTAATCGAGAAGGTACTGTTTTATAACACCAAAGATGTTTATTATCGATCAAGTTGTCTTGACTGAACGCCGCCATTTTCTTTGAAGCAAGTGATAAGAAACGGAACATCTTCGTGGGAATCAATGATACCGTAAATACGAAAGCATCGTCTCTCTCTGTAAACTAACGCTAATCTTTTCCTCTTTTTGATTTTGTATTTATTTCAATCATACACCTGTCTGAAATTTCCATGTAACATCAAAGTAATTGTGACCGTTTATAGAGGAATTATATGTCTTTTTCTAATACTTTGTAAAGCAACGAGTGAAGAATTATCACTTGCAAATTCGTCACTGAAATTTTATTTAAATATTTTGAATTCTCAGAAAAAATCCAGTAAACTCCCGGATGAATCCCAAATTTTTTGTACTTGTTTATTCCTCAGATAAGATCCGAAGGCTGGCCCAGACACTGGTACGCAAGGAGCGACATCGCTCTACGTCAGTTGTGTAACAATACAGTCATTCTGCTGCTAAAACATGCAGGAAACACGTCTAGCAAATGCTCGTATTGCCACATGAGGGGGAGTAGTTTCCCCTATCGCGAACACCTTGTGTTGTCTTATTTCCAGTGGCCCTTTTATATTGTCCTTTACACCTAATGGGGTGTCTTTCTGAGGACTCTGAATACATTTCTAGTGTCTCAGCCCAATATGTGCAGGTCTTTTGTTGCTGACTCAGCATGAATCCTAAATGCGTTCGATGCGTTGTGATGAAACCTTCGCACTTGCATCCACCAGCAGAAACCCTGACCTTGTAGACAACCTATCTTTACCTAAACATTGACATTACTGCCGACAATATGTGGGAGTGGAATAAGAAAAAACTTTTCACAAATCAATATCGCGAAATGAGCCACATTACAACAAACAGATCATGTACATTACAGCAGTTGGGAGCTCACATGTACACAACATTGAACGTGTAGAAGCCCAATATTGATATAATCGATTAAACCATTTGTCTTTCCCTGTTCGTTATCAGGTAACAAACGTACAGTTGACGATATTCAAAAGGCACTGACACTTCTAATTTCTTTGAAAAAACCCTGAAAAGGTCAGTTGCCTGATGACGTCACGTGGGACGCCATTCTTCTTGGAGACGACCCTCGGCCACTGTGACAACGTGGTACAGCCGGGGCCCATGTCTATATCTTGCGACGATTTTTGCGCTTTTTTTGACAATTCCTTGAGCCCTGTGTCGCCTGGCCACTGTCTGCCGACTAAACATATGCCCGAAGGCATTCGCCACTGATGGCGTCACATGCAGGACAGCCTTATCCTAGGTCTGCCTGTTCCTTGCCGGTCTGATGTCTGTCCGGCCTGTATGTAACGTTACACCAGCTTAGTTACAGCAACACGGTAACAACCAAACGTTCCAGCAACGTGCGCATGGCTGGCTGTATCTGTGTTACACACCCAGGGCCCGCTCGCGTTGTTCGGGTGTCAGGTGTGGTATTTCAGTGGCGTTTTGTATCAGTGGGCGTGTCACACGTCTCCGTGTCATGAATGCACGTGTGGCTTTAACTTTTAGCACAGAGCATTGATGTTTTTGGACGTTGGTTTAGTTGTGTTTCTGTTTGGAAATGTACAGCAATTTCAGTTTCAAGGTGGTAACGTGCCTTTGGCCGTCAGATTATTTTGGACGCTCTGAAGACATCCAAGGATTCTCAACAGTCCAAATGTAATAACTACCACACCACTCTCTTCTACTGAATCCCAACAGAAAAGCTGTACTGCAGGAAGGTAAGAGAATTGGTCTACAGCGAGGCAAGCTTCTCCAAATAGGGTCTGACATGGTTAATGCCTGGTATCCATGAAACCCAGGCGGACATGCTCATGACACGTCAATCACGGGATTGTCTCATCCAGACTCGACAGTTTACAGACCGCCCTCACATAGGTGGACTACAGCCGTGTGTGGCTTTAAGAAACAAACAAATATATACACACAATCGGAGGAACACTGCCGCTGCTGACTACACGCGGGGATATGTATTGATTCCTCGATAGCCGGTAATGCAATTTCATTGTCATACTGACTATTTGCGTAGGTTTACACTGGAGGTAGGATTCGGTGGCGTATCAGTGGTGTGTCCATTTGGTTATAACAATACATCCCGGATAGGGTGTGCCGTTTGTTAACATTACACGTCAAAGCAATAACTCTAAACATATGTTTTGTTTGGGATTACACTTTCTCAGTTACAATAACTCTAAAGATTTTGTTCGTTGTCGTTAACAGTGAGAAGATCCATCTGTGCTGGACCATTCATCATTTAAAGTTTATGAACTATTTGAAACAACGTCTGCAGGATGAAGATCATATTTGTGATTGTTTCCATGGCAATACGTGCTGACTGCATGATCGACATCTACCTGTTCGGACTGTTCCCACTGGATGGTCAGTATAACGGCGGTCAGGCCCAGCTGCCGGCCGCCATGTTGGCGGTGGACGACGTCAACAGACGTCAGGACATTCTACCTGGCTACAGACTGCACATGAAGTGGAACAATACCAAGGTAGGAATTAGTTTTGAGATTTTATATCTGAAGAAGTCATAACAGATTGGGTTGTTCCCACTTGAGGGTCAGTACGCCGGTGGGCGAGGTATGTTGCCTTCAGCCTTGATGGCGGTGGACGACATCAACAGACGTCAGGACATTCTACCTGGCTACAGACTGCACATGAAGTGGAACAATTCCAAGGTAGGACACAAACGACATATCCCAGAAACAGGGGCGTTGGGCTTCCTTGTCACATAGTCTATATACCTTGTCAGAGTCCTTGTTAAGTGACAATTAAACTACAAATACATTCTGATTCTGGATTGTCTACTCCCTGGGTTCTCCAAACATATACAAAACGAACAAGAGACTTTATTTTTTATATTAAGTTGGTTTTACCGTTACAAGTATTACTGATATAGTACTTTATGACCTCGTCTATTTATCACGATTTCAAAGCGTGTCATACAACGTTTCGTTGTTCGATCCACGTTACAACAGCCAAAGCCCCAGCAAAGCTTTCCAAAGGTGGGAGAAAATTACAAAATTACAATCGAAATCTCGCCAATGGCCGCCTTGATGCTTGGGAGTCGCAGTCTGCAGTTGCCCGACATTTCAACGTTCATCAGAGCACCATATCTCGCCTTTAGGATCGTTTCCTGCAGACCAATTTTGTCCAAGAGTTACCACCCAAGCCCAGGAACGGTTAATCCAGGTTGCTCACTTGCGTCATCGTCTGTGGAGACTGCACAACGCATCCCATGCATGTTTACCGACGGAATGAACGTTTTGCCCCTAATTGCATTCGACAGGTTGACCGATTCGGTTGAGGCGAGTTGTTCCTGCATGACAACGCTACTTCACATAAAGCTTGCTTCACGGTCCGCTATCTGCCAATTCTAACGTCAATGTTTAGCCATGGCCTTCCAGATCACTAGATCTAACCCGGATAGAACACCTATGGGATGAACTCGATCGACGTGTACGTCAACGTCAAAACACACCTTGGACACTTCTACAACTGGCCATCGCATTGCAGGAAGAGTGGGGACGAATTCCGCAAGAGCGACGTCGTCGACTTATCCAGTCTATGCCGTGACAGTGCCGAGCAGTAATTGCTGCCAATGGTCGCCATACAAAGTACTGACTTTGACGCCATTTTGTGGACTCAAGTAAACAGAAACACAACAATAAAGGCTGCTGTTGTGTTGGCGAACTCTTTGTGTGTAGACGTGTAAATTTAATAAAATAATTGCTCTTAAACTAACGTAGTAAATTCCTATAAAAATGGCTTATGCGTTTCTTTTTATTAGAAGAGTGTACTTCTCCAACTATTCCACCGTTAGAACTGCTCTCAAGACAATTCTCTTTCGTCGGGCTTTCGGCTAAGCTCTACCCTAGCTGCGCCTTGAGCATGATCCCCTAGCATGGTATTATCATTATGATTATACTGCCTATTTGTTTGTCTCAATGTGTTGAGTCTTGAACGCTACAACTAGTGGAATATACACCATATTCTCCAAATGCCTTTGTCTGTATACGGTATAATAGTCCTTACATTTATGCTGGACCCGTAAATATATTGGTTTAGAATTTGTCTTCAGGAACACATGACGGTCGGGTGGTCAGGCTCGCTGACTTGTTTGACACAGGTCATCGTATCCCAGTTATGTGGATCGATGTTCAAACTGTTGATCACTGGATTGTCTGGTGCAGACTCTACTATCTACAGACCGCCACCATATAGCTGGAATATTGCTGAGTGCGGCGTTAAACAACATACAAACGAACAAACATTCATGCTGTGTGTAAGGTGAGGTGAGGTGAGGTGAGGTGAAATTGGGTTTTAACGTCGTACTTGAGAATATTTCGCTCATATGACGACGTGCATGCGTGTGTATGTGTATGTGCGGCTGCTTGTACTAGCCCAGACTGAAGCGGGTTTTATAGTGCTAGCCCTCTGAGATACCATGCCGCAGTGAAGCATGAATACCCCACTCAGACACAGTACACTGACTCCGAGCCGACCAGTCCTTGTTGTACCCATTAATGCCGAGCGCCAGGCAGGGACCAACAAGTACCATGTTTTAACGTCTTTTGGTATGACGCGGTCGGGGATCAAACCCTCGACCTTCCGCTCTCCGGCGGACGCTCTAACCGCTACACCACGGAGGCGGTCCCTGTGTGTAAGGCGGTTAGATACAGGTAAGTACTTGCCGAGATGCGTCGATATCCCATGGCTCTGAATGTTTTAAAGCTTAGCTGAATAATGATAGCTGTGGCTACAAAAATACTCATCATTAATATATAAGCCTTATACTGATACATTCAATATATACCAAGCTAACATTACACCTGAAGTGCCTTTGAGCAGTGAAAGATCTCATGTACATATTTTAAGGAACTTCATTATGTTCGCCTGTCGCTAACACATTTCCTTTCTAATGCCTCCATTGACACTGCATTTCGGTACAATAAAAATGACCAATACCTTTCTATAATAATGAAGAAAAAACCCCAAAACCGACAAAACCCTTTCCAAGGCCAAAAGAAATCTCGGCTAAGGAACGGAGTCTATGGTACGATTCCTTTTGTGTCATGAGCATGTGTTTGGACACGCCAGAGAAGGACAATTACTTCATTGTGGAGAAAGACTTGTGTCTGAAGCCTCCTAAAAGTAATTTGATGAGATGTCAACTGATGATAGATGTTAAATACATCAATAATGGTTGACAGCATCAATCAACTGAAAACAATCTGTTAATCCGATAACATTCTACCTTAAAGCGGCACTACCTGCTATTGTTAGTCAGATAAATATATCTGACTGTATGTTAACGTGTTTTCCTATGACGTTAGGACACGAGGATCAATACCCCAGTCTATACGAAACCCTCCAGACAACAAGGGACATTCAAAAAGGGAGGACGACAGAGTAGATGTGAGATATGGCATTTTGACACACAACTTGCGGACGTAATGAATACTTGGGCTGGTGCGTCAGTACCAGATTATCACAGACACGTGCTTTGTAGCATTGCAGTCTGAAATAAAATTAGTTTAGTTACTTTATTGAAAAATGTCTCTTCTCACCTTCTTCAGCGGGGATCGTTTCAGATTAACATAAGTTATTACTTTTGTTAAGGATATGGGGTTTCATGAAATCGAAGCTGTCCAGATAATGCAATTATATGTGTAAATTGTTTTAAGTCTTACATTCAGAGCTTCAAACAATGCTCGTTAAGCTGAGTGTGGTAGATTTCCCTTGTATGTGCATGAAATGGTGAAAACAATCACCTGTGTCATGCACATGTTTACTTATACATGGCACAATATGTTAGCCTTGTACTGCAGTCTGGGTAAACCGGGTGGGCCTACAAGCATACGACAAGCACTGCTTTCTCTTGGTTTTGGCTTTCACAAGCTCAGGGAAATGAATATTCAATGAAATATGGTTTTGTCATGGTTTTGCACTGCTCTGTGAGGAAGTATTCTCCTCTGCGCTAACAGACGGTGCTATTTGGATTCAGGTAAGGCTTCAAGGCATCTTCAGTAAATCTCACATGATCCATTTAATACCTTTTGGCTTGGGGCCACTTTTCTCTATAATTCGGAGGCGTATTAACTTCATTATTTACAGAATATACTTACATTAATGCCTACACAATGCTTTCCATTGTTCCTAGATGTGCGGGAGTTTAAAAATGCCATTCTGTTTCAGACAACTAAAACTCCTCGTAACGACAGTTACTGCACAATTTGCTCTTCTCAGAATATGGAAGAAGACAAGTTCCTTCTCCTGCCTATGATCATTGACAACAGATATATAAACCATCTGTATACCCTACACATCCGAACACCCATAAATGTAATGCTTGCCTGTCGTCAAATGGTCCAAATAGGCATGTTAAAATGTTTCAAAGTAGACTTTCATTTTGTGAGTTTATTGAGGTATTAACCTTCATAGAGTGAGAGCCAAAACTGAAGATCAGTTGTGAGATGAGTTATCCACAGGCAACGAATATAAATCAAAGAACACAAAACTTCAGTCCAGCAAAAAGACTCCAAATCCACCATAGCCGACCACACCCAAGCCAACCCTGACCATGCCATCCTTTGGGACAACATCCACATCCTGGAAACCAACCGAGCAGACTAAAAGATTAGGAAACTCCTTGAAGCCATAATAACCCAACGCTTCAATCCCACCATGAAACGGGATCAAGGTTATTTTATCTCTTCGGCCTATGACAACCTAATTAAAGATCCACCCATACCTCGTCCAACTGGCTTCTATGCCCCATTTTGTGTATCGTAATCACAACTAATCATGTGTACATCAGCCTACTCTCTCCAACTCACTATTACCATCTCAGTGTACATCAACATACTCTCTCCAACTCACATTACCATCTCAGTGTACATCAACCTACTCTCTCCAACTCACATTACCATCTCAGTGTACATCAACCTACTCTCTCCAACTCACATTACCATCTCAGTGTACATCAACCTACTCTCTTCAACTCACGATTACCATCTCAGTGTACATCAACCTACTCTCTCCAACTCACTATTACCATCTCAGTGTACATCAACATACTCTCTCCAACTCACATTACCATCTCAGTGTACATCAACCTACTCTCTCCAACTCATTACCCATCTCAGTGTACATCAACCTACTCTCTCCAACTCACATTACCATCTCAGTGTACATCAACCTACTCTCTCCACCTCACATTACCATCTCAGTGTACATCAACCTACTCTCTCCAACTCACTATTACCATCTCAGTGTACATCAACCTACTCTCTTCAACTCACATTACCATCTCAGTGTACATCAACCTACTCTCTCCAACTCACATTACCATCTCAGTGTACATCAACCTACTCTCTTCAACTCACATTACCATCTCAGTGTACATCAACCTACTCTCTCTCAACTCACATTTACCATCTCAGTGTACATCAACCTACTCTCTTCAACTCACTATTACCATCTCAGTGTACATCAACCCTCTCTTCAACTCACATTACCATCTCGGTGTACACTCAGTCTTCAACTCACTATTACCATCTCAGTGTACATCAACATACTCTCTCCAACTCACATTACCATCTCAGTGTACATCAACCTACTCTCTGCAAGTCACATTACCATCTCAGTGTACATCAACATACTCTCTCCAACTCACTATTACCATCTCAGTGTACATCAACCTACTCTCTTAAACTCACATTACCATCTCAGTGTACATCAACCTACTCTCTCCAACTCACATTACCATCTCAGTGTCCATCAACCTACTCTCTCCACCTCATATTACCATCTCAGTGTACATCAACCTACTCTCTTCAACTCACATTACCATCTCGGTGTACATCAACCTACTCACTCACATTACTCTCCATCTCGGTGTACATCAACCTACTCTCTCACTCATTGTACATCAACCCTACTCTCACATCCATCTCAGTGTACATCAACATACTCTCTCCAACTCACATTACCATCTCAGTGTACATCAACCTACTCTCTTCAACTCACATTACCATCTCAGTGTACATCAACCTACTCTCTTCAACTCACATTACCATCTCAGTGTACATCAACCTACTCTCTCCAACTCACATTACCATCTCAGTGTACATCAACCTACTCTCTTCAACTCACATTACCATCTCAGTGTACATCAACCTACTCTCTTCAACTCACATTACCATCTCAGTGTACTTCAACCTATTCTCTTCAACTCACATTACCATCTCAGTGTACATGAACTCATCTGTTGTATAAACCCATTCTGCATATTGTTTTAATCACTATCACTCTGTACATCAACCTACTCTGCTCAAATCACTAATTAGCAATCCAATGTATATCAACCATGTCAATTGTATATACACACTATGCAGCTATGTATATATTCTCCATGTTACAACTCTATGTATCACTTGCTTGATAACGTTAGTACCTACACCGAAACGTCGCACTCATTGCAATAAAGAAGTTGACTATCCATAGAACTTGGTTTTCCTTCAACGAATATAAAGGTTCCTAAACCTGAACAACTTGGAAGAGTTGGTGCTGGTGTAGAATAGACTGAAACTGTTGGTGGTTCCTGAAACGTTAAATAAACAGAAGCCATATGAATCTCTGGTCATGGAATATTGAACCGGAAGAAAACACTTACATCATGCGACAAATCAATGGTTTCCGTATGGCGCTGTACATACGTTAATAAAGCTTTGTATTCTGCTCAAGAATACACAAATTTAAATATGGGATATATTCATGGTGTTTCATTTGTAATATAATGGTCCACCGTTGCAGTGCGACAGAGGCGTGGGACTGAAGGCTCTGTCGGACAGCTTGTACACTACAGACATCAAGCTGATGGTCATTGGAGGAGCATGTTCTCAGGTGTCAGAGGCAACAGGCAGGGTGTCGCATCTGTGGAACCTCGTCCAGGTACAGCACACACGTCCCAGGTGAACTGTTTCAAAGATACAATGCACAGTAACAGTGTAACTATTCTATGTTGAAGGTCGGGTACACTAATGTTACAGGTTTACATACACAGAAACACTCCCTCTTTAAAGGCCGGGGTCCCCGATATCAGTTTCACATGCCTTACATGTACAAGGTCAAGTACATATGTATCATTTCTTCATTAAAGAGTACATGGTACTTGTATTTCGCGTTTCATAGTACGTCGATGACATTGGTAGCAGTATTCCATGTGTTTCGTTAAAGGCCGAGTACACCTTGGACCTGAATAAAGATCTCATTTCAATCGTGACCCAAACACTAAGTTTTATTACAAATGGCATTGTTGAACATTTCTAGATCACCCATGCATATAGTAAAAACTGTTGTGTATTTTTAACAGAGGAGACCATTGACCATTGATGCTAACATACGGGTCTCTGGCGATCTTGAACACGGCTAGAGTTTATACGTTTATATATCAACTTGTGTTAAGGAGTGTTTCTGTGACCAGACTGTCAGGAAACTAGAAATACATCCTCCCCCAAAAACAACAACAAACAAAACAACAACAACAACAACAACAAACAAACAAACAACCAAACAAACAAAAAAAAACAAAAACAAAAAAAAAAAAAACAAAAACCAAAAACCAAAAACCAAAACAAAACAAACAACCCCCAATAAAAACAAAACAAAACAAAACAAAACAAAACAAAACAAAACAAAATAAAACAAAACAAAACAAAACAAAATAAAACAAAACCAACAACCAAAATACAAAAAAAAACCTAACATAAACAACAATAACAACATGTTGTTCCACCCAGCAAAAAGACGACATGTGAGTTAAAATGTGTACCATTACCCCACGTGCAAGTATACAGGCGTGCACATGACGTCGCAGTTCAATAGACCCCAATGACGTCACATGGAATTTCCCTCCATTGTTCATTACCATCTGGCTTCAAGTCGTCTGTTGCTCTTGTCAGGATGATGTCTGGTAGATGTGATATGTCTGGCCAGAAACTGTTCCACAACATCTGACCTCCCACGAAGACTACTACCAGCCATCTGACCTCCCACGAACACTAATATCAGCCATCTTACCTCACACAAACACTAATATCAGCCATCTTACCTCACACGAACACTAATATCAGCCATCTTACCTCACACGAACACTAATATCAGCCATCTTACCTCACACAAACACTAATATCAGCCATCTTACCTCACACAAACACTAATATCAGCCATCTTACCTCACACAAACACTAATATCAGCCATCTTACCTCACACAAACACTAATATCAGCCATCTTACCTCACACAAACACTAATATCAGCCATCTTACCTCACACAAAACACTAATATCAGCCATCTTACCTCACACACAAACACTAATATCAGCCATCTTACCTCACACAAACACTAATATCAGCCATCTTACCTCACACAAACACTAATATCAGCCATCTTACCTCTTACCTCACACAAACACTAATATCAGCCATCTTACCTCACACAAACACTAATATCAGCCATCTTACCTCACACAAACACTAATATCAGCCATCTTACCTCACACAAACACTAATATCAGCCATCTTACCTCCTCACACAAACACTAATATCAATGCCATCTTACCTCACACAAACACTAATATCAGCCATCTTACCTCACACAAACACTAATATCAGCCATCTTACCTCACACAAACACTAATATCAGCCATCTTACCTCACACAAACACTAATATCAGCCATCTTACCTCACACGAACACTAATATCAGCCATCTTACCTCACACGAACATCCACACAATATCAGCCATCTTACCTCACACGAACACTAATATCAGCCATCTTACCTCACACAAACACTAATATCAGCCATCTTACCTCACACAAACACTAATATCAGCCATCTTACCTCACACAAACACTAATATCAGCCATCTTACCTCACACGAACACTAATATCAGCCATCTTACCTCACACGAACACTAATATCAGCCATCTTACCTCATACGAACACTAATATCAGCCATCTTACCTCACACAAACACTAATATCAGCCATCTTACCTCACACAAACACTAATATCAGCCATCTTACCTCACACAAACACTAATATCAGCCATCTTACCTCACACGAACACTAATATCAGCCATCTTACCTCCTCACACGAACACTAATATCAGCCATCTTACTAATAATATCAGCCATCTTACCTCACAATATCAAACACTAATATCAGCCATCTTACCTCACACAAACACTAATATCAGCAATCTTACCTCACACAAACACTAATATCAGCCATCTGACTTCCTATGAACACTAATATCAGCGATCTGTTTTCAGATCTCCTATGGGTCGGTGTCTCCATCACTGTCAAACAAGAAAGAGTTTCCAAAGTTCTTCAGACTTATCTCTCCTGAATCCAACACCAACAAGGTCCGTGTGAAACTATTCCGACATTTTGGATGGAAAAGGATAGCAATCATCTCTGAGAACATGGATCTGTTTTCTTCAGTAGGTATTTCATCGTAAATCTAAAATGTGTGTTTCATATAATCCTGCTGATTTTACAATTTAGTTAGGTACGAATCTATTTTGCAATAACCTGTGTGTTTGAATTTGGATCTGATTTACATTTGCAGAGAATCTTCACAGGAAGATTGTGAAATCAGTACGTGACAACATAATTGTGACATAAATGAATAATTAATAAATTACATTGACACTGAGATTCACGTTCACAAGAGGCACACAAAATAGACACACAAATGCCAGCAGAATTAGGCACCAAGCTCTCTATTAGATGTCAAATGTTCTGCTCATTGCCCCTATCATACGATGCAGTTCATAACGTAAAACGCTTTGGATGGCTCTCCCGCTGCTCGTATATCGCGTGGTTAACGCGAACCATCGATATAATGCAGGAAACGTCCTGGGCCCCGTTCCTCAACGCGATCGTAGCGCTAAGGTGATCGTAACTCCCATACTTTAACATAGACTTACGACTGTCGTAGCGCTACGATCGCTTTAAGGAACGGGGCCCAGAACGATTAAGTTATCTTGTGTTTGTGATCAACAACCAAGGGGAACTATAAAGTATTATTCCAGTGCAAAATGGTTTCTACAGCACTCACAATTTTACGAAAGCTTCTTTCACCATATGTACCTTAGAACACTCTCCACTGCATAGATCAATGTGAGTGAGTAATATCACGGCGGAACACTCTCCACTGCATAGATCAATGTGAGTGAGTAACATCACGGCGGAACACTCTCCACTGCATAGATCAATGTGAGTGAGTAACATCAAGGCGGAACACTCTCCACTGCATAGATCAATGTGAGTGAGTAATATCAATGGCGGAACACTCTCCACTGCATAGATCAATGTGAGTAATATCACGGCGGAACACTCTCCACTGCAGATCAATGTGAAGAGTGAGAGCAACATCACGGCGGAACACTCTCCACTGCATAGATCAATGTGAGTGAGTAACATCACGGCGGAACACTCTCCACTGCATAGATCAATGTGAGAGTAACATCAAGGCGGAACACTCTCCACTGCATAGATCAATGTGAGTGAGTAACATCACGGCGGAACACTCTCCACTGCATAGATCAATGTGAGTGAGTAACATCACGGCGGAACACTCTCCACTGCATAGATCAATGTGAGTGAGTAACATCACGGCGGAACACTCTCCACTGCATAGATCAATGTGAGTGAGTAATATCACGGCGGAACACTCTCCACTGCATAGATCAATGTGAGTGAGTAACATCACGGCGGAACACTCTCCACTGCATAGATCAATGTGAGTGAGTAATATCACGGCGGAACGGCGTGAGAACACTCACGGCCACTGCATAGATCAATGTGAGTGAGTAACATCACGGCGGAACACTCTCCACTGCATAGATCAATGTGAGTGAGTAACATCACGGCGGAACACTCTCCACTGCATAGATCAATGTGAGTGAGTAATATCACGGCGGAACACTCTCCACTGCATAGATCAATGTGAGTGAGAAACATCACGGCGGAACACTCTCCACTGCATAGATCAATGTGAGAGTGAACATCACGGCGGAACACTCTCCACTGCATAGATCAATGTGAGTGAGTAACATCACGGCGGAACACTCTCCACTGCATAGATCAATGTGAGTGAGTAATATCACGGCGGTGAACACCAGAAGTGGGCATCACAAGTTGTACCCATGTTTGTAATCGAACTCGGGCCTTCAGTATGACGAGCGAACGCTTTAACCACTAGGCTACCCCACCGCAATCATAGATCAATACTTCCATGTATACCTCAATGTGCTGTTGTTACACTCAAGAAGTTTTGCCATTGACATATTTTGAACTATTCATCTTGAAAATGTTCTACTCTCACTATAAAGTGGAGATTTTTGCAGTACTGTAAATGCTGTCTCTTAGTGGAGAAACCACTGCCTTTGTTAACAACATGGTAAATATCATTGGAATGTTTCAGGCAACTGAAGATCTTATAAAACAGCTTCATGCTGCGAACATCACGGTACAATCACGCCAGTTTTTCAACGATCCAACAATTGAAGTTAAAGACCTCAAGGTAACTATGGCAATGCGATCAATAACTCGCTTCTGTCCCTGTTGTACTAGAAGATACTTGTTTATAAAGATATAAATGTTTCTCTTTTGACAGTGTAAAACACTTAAATGAATCCATTCATGATATACAGTTATGCACATGTGTTTCAACGCTGCCTTAATGGTTGTCACAACAACATTCTCCGTTCATGGAACCAGTATCGAGAATCCATTCTCAGACACAGGTAAAGCTCAGCCCTTTACCCCACTGGGTTATGTCTGCATTTTATATTGATAAATACCATTGGCCCTTTCGTCATCATAACTGAATTTTGGAGGCACCACCATCGCTCCTATGTCTGATTTCACTTGACGTTTATATGTCGAGTCGTGACATTGGAAGTGGATTCCGTCTTTGGTAGCGACCCGAACAAGGGTACTGAAGCTGAGACACGTATGATAATCAAAGATGGATGAAGTGTAAAGATAACGTACATCGTATCATCAGCCGTAGTGGCTACAATCTGTTTCAGAATCAGGATGCACGAATCATTGTCGGCAACTTCTACCCCCAGCGAGGACGGGAAGTCATTTGTCAGGTACTTGTATATTTAGGTGTCTGAAGGAAACAGACGATGTATAATTGATGCATGGCTTAGTTCAACACGATCCCATCTTTGGGGGATAGAGAAGTAGCGGCCATCGGCAGATGGGGCATCTACTTGAGATCGAGAAGTAGTGATTATCAGCAGATGGGGCATCTACTTGAGATCGAGAAGTAGTGATCATTATCAGATGGGCATCTATAGGAGATCGAGAAGTGGTGCTTATCAGCAGTTGGGGCGGGCATCTATAGGAGATCGAGAAGTAGTGATCATCATCAGATGAGCATATATAGGAGATCGAGAAGTGGTGCTTATCAGCAGATGGGCATCTATAGGAGATCGAGAAGTGGTAATTATCAGCAGTTGGGGCGGGCATCTATAGGAGATCGAGAAGTAGTGATTATTATCAGATGGGCATCTATAGGAGATCGAGAAGTGGTGATTATCAGCAGTTGGGGCGAGCATCTATAGGAGATCGAGAAGTAGTGATCATTATCAGATGGGCATCTATAGGAGATCGAGAAGTGGTGATTATCAGCAGTTGGGGCGAGCATCTATAGGAGATCGAGAAGTAGTGATCATTATCAGATGGGGCATCTATAGGAGATCGAGAAGTGGTGATTGTCATCAGATGGGGCATCTATAGGAGATCGAGAAGTGGTGATTATCAGCAGTTGGGGCGGGCATCTATAGGAGATCGAGAAGTAGTGATTATTATCAGATGGGCATCTATAGGAGATCGAGAAGTAGTGATTATGATCAGATGGGCATCTATAGGAGATCGATAAGTGGTGATTATCAGCAGTATCAGATGAGCGAGGACATCTATAGGAGATCGAGAAGTAGTGATCATTATCAGATGGGCATCTATAGGAGATCGAGAAGTAGTGATTATCAGCAGTTGGGGCGGGCATCTATAGGAGATCGAGAAGTAGTGATCATTATCAGATGGGCATCTATAGGAGATCGAGAAGTGGTGAAACAGCAGATGGGACATCTATAGGAGATCGAGAAGTGGTGATCATTATCAGATGGGCATCTATAGGAGATCGAGAAGTGGTGATCATTATCAGATGGGCATCTATAGGAGATCGAGAAGTGGTGATTATTAGCAGATGGGACATCTATAGGAGATCGAGAAGTGGTGATCATTATCAGATGGGCATCTATAGGAGATCGAGAAGTGGTGATTATTATCAGATGGGCATCTATAGGAGATCGAGAAGTGGTGATTATTATCAGACGGGCATCTATAGTAGATCGAGAAGTAGTGATTATCAGCTGTTGGGGCGAGCATGTATAGGAGATCGAGAAGTAGTGATCATTATCAGATGGACATCTATAGGAGATCGAGAAGTGGTGATTATGAGCAGTTGGGGCGGACATCTATAGGAGATCGAGAAGTAGTGATCATCATCAGATGGGCATCTATAGGAGATCGAGAAGTGGTGATTTTCAGCAGATGGGGCGGGCGTCTATAGGAGATCGAGAAGTAGTGATCATTATCAGATGGGCATCTATAGGAGATCGAGAAGTGGTGATTATCAGCAGATGGGGCGGGCATCTATAGGAGATCGAGAAGTAGTGATGGGCATCTATAGGAGATCGAGAAGTGATGATTATCAGCAGATGGGGCGGGCATCTATAGGAGATCGAGAAGTAGTGATCATCATCAGATGGGCATCTATAGGAGATCGAGAAGTAGTGATCATCATCAGGGCCCGGTTGTTCAAAACTCGTTTATCTTTTAACCAGCCGTTAAGTTCATTTAACTGACCGTTACCTAATAACAGAGGGTTATCTTGTTGTTCAAAACTCTGTTAACTTGTAACAGGCTGTTAACGTGACGTTAAGTTAACACACCTAAGGACCGCCGCTAACTTTTTAACAGTGTGGTTAACTCGCAAATGGCGTTCATGGCTAACACTGCTTTCATGAGGCCAGTTCAGCAAAGAAAGGATGGGGTGTATCGTGGACTGGATTTCGATACTGGAAATTATTCTGACGAAGAGTTACATACGAAACTGTAACTATGCACTTCATAGGAACTAAAATACATGTTGTACAAAAACATGATGCCTACGTTTCATCTTTTAACACTTGTGTAAAGGTTTATATATGCTTTACTACACTAAATGTGTGAATTTCTTCTGTAAATATTATTCAAACAAACAGTTTCAAAGAATCAAACACGTACACCCTATACCCACGTATGACATGATATTGAACAAGACTAAATGTAGATAATTAAATTAGTTTCATGAAAATATATCCGAATGATAACATTATAATACTGAAAGTGTAATCGGTAGGATATGGTGATTGTGTATACTCTTATTCTACCGACCTTCACCTCAGAGAAATTGCCAAATATGTACAACAATGTTGACGTATGACATCACTACCGTTGATATTTCTTTAAAAAATGGCGGCTGACATGGGTTTTGCGAGGACCCTTCCCTTGATTCAGGCATCGTTTGTACATAAATATGAGATGTAAGTAATCAGAATGATTCTGACTATCTGTGTATTGTTACATGTTTTTATCGTTTTCATTTTAAGAAAGAGAAGAAGCGGCCAGAAATGCCGATTATTACCCTTGTCGTGCTGCGTGATTTTGCGTCAGTCATGGCGTCACGCTGCACAGAAACTTAATTGACAGTTTCGTATAAACATATCACATTCCTGTATTGTATCTATTTTTAATTTCCTATTTCTTGCTACTATGCTCTTTCCATGCAAATGGGTGTCTGAAAATTTGAGAAAATGCTAAACAGTATAAAGTCTGAAATTTTCTTTGTTTACATTTCAAACAGGTGTTGTCTTTCGAGCACAGCATTTGTTTCCACCGCCAATATCTTTCGTTTCAGTTTATCTAGACACTTGGTATTGGTGACAAAGACCAGTTGTAATTAGATTCTAAAATGTATGAGGAATTCAGTAGGGCTGGAACGAGAAGGAAAAAATGGAATCGAGTACCCGCATGTACTTACCCGAATCGGAATCGAGTACCCGGAAATGTAAGAAATACATTCGGGTCAACCTCTGAATATTCAATCACGATTTGACAGAGACTATTATAGAAAACTTGAAAAAGTGGTAATAAGACATTAAAACTGACCTCAAGCTATTGAATTTACGTCTGTTTAACCAATATAGAGAGTAACACCATTACTTACATTCCTCGTTATAACAACGAACGTTTTGTTCCTGCTGCTACTGTAACTTAACTACTCACTGCTCATGCACAGATAAATTACAGTCATTAAAACTATGCTCCATTAATCGGACAATACCAATGATGTAAAAACCCGTGAATTTCCGGGTTAGAATATTGATCTTCAGTAACCCATGCTTGTCGTAAGAGGCGACTAACGGGATCGGGTGGTCAAACTCGCTGACTTGGTTGACACATGTCATCGTATCCCAATAGCACACATCGATGCTCATGTTGTTGATCACTGGATTGTCTCGTCCAGACTCGATTATTTACAGACCGCCGCCATATAACTGGAATATTGCTGAGTGTGGCGTAAAACTAAACTCATTCACTCACTCATTGATGTAAATGTGTGTTACGTCAAAATCGAAAAAGACAAGCTATTGTCTGCCCTTGTCATTACAGAGCTCTCTCCCGTTCCAGGTACCCGATTCCTAGAAATAGGACTCGATTCCAGCTGTACCCGACCCGGATTCGAGTACCGTAGTACCCGTCCCAGCCTTAGAATTCAGTGATGCATTTGTCGCTGCTGAATATGAAATATATGTGATGTAATTGGCGTCTCAATACCGGCCTTCGCGAAACGTTGTGAGTTGTGAGTGATATGCAGGCCTACTTCGTAGTCACTTTGATTAAATGTTATATTTCAATATCGAAACCTTTTTGTAACAGCGAACACAACATTATCTCTTGTCATTTTACACGATAATGTTTGGAATTTTAAACTTATTTTATAACAATATCTGAATGCTAATGTTATACACTGATGTATTTTATATAAGGAATACTATGGTACAACAGTATTTCTCTGTCGAATCGTTGCAGCGTTCTATAATACACTTATGAAATATAATACATGGTTTCCGTCCTTGACGACATTGAACAGAACTATCTATGCATTTTCTTAGTCACTTGTGAATTGAACTAAATGGAGGTTCATCTGATCAATGAGCATCGAGGAAATTATGTTCATCTATTACAGCGTTCTATAATACACTTATGAAATATGATACATGTTTTCCCACCTTGAAGTCAATTAAAAAGAATTATGCATTTCTGCAGTCACTTGTGAATTGAAATAAATGAAGGTTCATCTGATTAATGAGTATCGAGGAAATTATGTTCATCTATAAATTAGACGCAGCTTCATGTTTTTCAAGACATCTGTCCGGAATATGCGTCTGTGAATGGCGTTCAGATAATGACGATATTGCACAGTTTTATTCATGAGATTCCTGTCAACAGTAAGGGCGAATAATAAATCGATTTTATTCAGCAGTGTTGGCCCTGGGGCCTATAGTACAATTACAGTTTGATTACTTGCACGTGGTGCTAGTAACATATTAAGTTTCTATTGGCATTGAATGCATATTTCAGATAAAAAGCTAATGGTATTATTGTCACAACATCTATATTGTTTGATGTTAAAAGATTTGGCAATGTGTGTTCATACATTACAGTTTTTGACAGACTTGGCAAATAATTAATAAATGATATTGATAGCATCTTAATGACTTTGCCATACAGTCATGACAATTGAAGGAGTGAAAAGTGAGTGATAGGTCTTGTGGGAATTCAAAGATTCATTAAGACTGTAGCCGTCTAAGCGTAACTCCTGTGTGTAATACTTGTAAATATTCTATCCACTGTAAACATGCTTCTACTATTAATATTACATGTATTTTCATGGATTCATCATATTTTATCTATAGCTGTGCTATAGTTTCTCATTAAAATGTCTTTTCTGTTGTCGGAATTGAAGTAAGTCCCACACAGAGCTGGGATCATATGTCTTTGAAATATATATGCAAACGTCTGGAACCTTGTGTTCCAATACAAGCGTTCGTAGAGCTACGACATTCGCGTGCCTATGATAAACTATAGAGTTGGTCTCAACCATTGACTGGATTACATTCTCATCGTCAGCAGAGAAATTTCGACTTCTCTTTTTCCTTGAGGTGCAGGCGACATTTCGCGATTCCATTTTTGGTAATCCGGAAGTAAACAGAAAACGGAATTGTGGGATATATGAAAGCTAACCAGTGACGTTAACCACACTATTAAACTTTGACGGCGACGTTAGCTAACGGCATGACTAACCATGTTTTAAACAACGCATATTTAACGTTCGGTTACCTAACGGCCGGTTAAGGATTTAACCGACCGTTAGGAGTTAACCGGCGGTTAAGATAACCGAGTATTGAACAACCGGGCCCAGATGGGCATCTATAGGAGATCGAGAAGTAGTGATCATTATCAGATGGGGCATCTATAGGAGATCGAGAAGTAGTGATCATTATCAGATGGGCATCTATAGGAGATCCAGAAGTGGTGATTATCAGCAGATGGGGCGAGCATCTATAGGAGATCGAGAAGTAGTGATCATTATCAGCTGGGCATATATAGGAGATCGAGAAGTGGTGATTATCAGCAGATGGGGCGGGCATCTATAGGAGATCGAGAAGTAGTGATCATCATCAGATGGGCATCTATAGGAGATCTGGAAGTAGTGGTCATCATCAGATGGGCATCTATAGGAGATCGAGAAGTAGTGGTAATCATCAGATGGGCATCTATAGGAGATCGAGAAGTAGTGGTCATCCATACACCTGAGATCATTAAGATAATTAAATTAAATAATCAAAATTATGCGTGACTAACTGGAAAATGATCTTGTCGTTTGTGTTCATATTTCATCTGTATTGATGATTAGCAAAATTAGATGATAGAAACAGTTTCAGAAATTCATTTATTCTTGTTTATTTCTAGGCGTTTCGAGTCGGGCTGTACGGAAGGAAGGTGGTGTGGCTACTCCCAGGCTGGTTTCAACCCGACTGGTACACGATATATGACGACACTGCCAACTGTACCGCCCAGGACATCCTACAGGTTATAGACAACGCCTTCAGTCTGGACAACATCTACTACAATCCGAACGATGACGTGGCAATCTCTAACATGACGTCAGCGCAGTTCCGGTCAAGATTCACGGATCTATTGAACCGGACAAAAAACAACACATTCTTATCCGGGTACGAGCGTGCACCCGCTGCCTATGATGTTATTTGGGCTGCAGCCATTGCGTTGAATCAAACAAACAACTATCTCAAACAAACCAGTAAGGCACGTTTTGATGTTTTCAGATTACTGTGATAGGTTTTATTAACAGACTGTCTGATTACAAATCATTTGAAATCGCTTGTTCACTATTTACTAGGTGTCTCTTACAACATGTGCATGGTCTGTACAACGACCGTAACTTTCAACTCATGGTCATTTCTCGTATCGGACAATGCACGAATTCTTCCGAATAAATATACTTTGTTTTTCGTTTGATGTGAAAATTCCACGTTCAATAATCTAATATACATTTTTACCTTTTGGACACATCTTTAGTGACTGGTCGATAAATCAGCTGTTATAAATATATGCGATTATATAGCTAGAGAATATAGTGTAATGTTCACCAATACTGTAACAGTGAATGTAAAGTCACTCGACAACGACGTGCGCGATTACATGGCCGTTACTAGACTGGTTTCACCAACCGGTGACGAGTAGTACAACTTATGCACTTGTATCGACACTGCTCCGTCAAGGCTGATACAGTGGTGGTTCCTTGCTAGAGTCTGCTGATCAAGGGTTCAAATCCAGATTGATTATGACGCTTGGTTTGTCAGCGCCATCAGCTTATTACGAGGTTAATACGGTAATGACCGGCAAGTGTTTGGGCTCCCCTCCTCCATGAAGCTGCCACGCGCTGATAGAAGAGATCAAGGCGACATCTTACACTACCTGTATTTTAGAAAACAGCATATCATGTACATAGTGCATCTTAGTATGTTACTCCATTCGTCAGATGACTCCCTAAGAATCGAAAACTTTACGTACCTGGACAACAGACTGGGACAGCTGATATATGACCACGTCTCCAAACTCAAGTTCACTGGTCTGCCTGGCGACGTCCAGTTTGATGACCGCGGCGACCCGAAGAGTTTAGTCAGCATACGTGTGTTTCGAGGTTAGTAGATCCTTCGTGGTGTTTGGGGGAATGGAAATGACTTGCAATGTGGAACTGAAATGCTTATATGTCGTTATGGAATAGTTTGAAGCTTGTTAAATGTTGTTGTTGTAGTTGACTGCCAGGCTCAGTGACATAGCAGCTGTACGAGGGCGGCGTCTGTGTAATCGGCGTCTAATATTTAATCAGTTGTCTTTGGTAAGGTCTTAAGGTATAATACGTTTTGATGATAACCGACAACAAAATTGTACGAATAGAGTGACTTCATATCACAAACGTAATTTCAAAACAGGGCAAACAAATTACAAAACAGGTTACAGATAAACGTAGCGTAGTTACGTTTGAACAGTTGGTCAGGTGTCCGGTGTCAGGTGTCAGTGTATCACTGTCGGTGTCGGAAACGCCATTACAGTCATCCAGTCAGACATAAGCATCACTATCTGCTGTAGCCTTCATCAGCAAAAACAACTGCACCAATCTTCCAACCAGTCTTTTCACTGACTGAATAGGGCGCGGGATTTGGCTTCGAGGCAATTGGTTCCTTTCCTAATGATGCGAAGCCCTATGCTGAGCAAGGATTGGAGCTGCAGGTTGTCTTTCTAATTTTCGAATTCGGGGTTCCTTGCCGGCCATGGGAATGTTGTAATGGCTTCCAAGCTAAGATAAGCACAATGATCAATTTGAATCCATTTTATTAATTATTATTTTTTCCAGATGTATACTAGTTTATAAGGATGGCAGAAGGAAATCTGTAACCTTAAATCGTACATTCTTACAGACCCGAATATCGTCCAAGTGGGCGAGACAGACACATTCGACCGCGACATACAGTGGCTGTTGCCAGATTTCAGTGTGTTCAGAGGTAGGTAAACTGTATACATAAATGCGAAAGTCAGATGTATCGTGTCTATATACCTCACAATTCCAGAATTGAATGAACATTCTGAATTATTTTCTAAACTATGGAAACCTTGGTCTATATGTTCCGACGAGATGCTACAAACGATCGTTTGACATTCTGCTGTATGCGCCTCAGTCTCCTGTGACTTATAAATGGCAAATGATGTTCGCAATATTGTTGAGGATACAGCAAAACATGTATTGTATTGCATCTCTAAAATGTTAACTTGTTCCGATAAGATCTTAGCTTGTCCTGTCATCGCCTGAGTTTCGAGTTGCTGTGATGTTGCTACAAGATTGAACCGGCAGGTATCCGGTGTGCAGGTTAGGGGGTAATATTCAGACTGACATATCTTTTGTTCTGCTCAGTTTCAGTTTAAATGTCCATTGCCAATCAATGACCTATCAACTAATGAGTTACATAAATCTGCCGTTGATATTTACCAACGAAACTGCAATTAGGAACGTTTCAGAGCGAAACTTTCGGGCCAGAGTGAAGGAGAGTGTCATCACACATATTTATGGGTGTGGTGTTTGTAGATGGGCGTGTCCCCGTGGACAGAGTGAAGCTGAAGCAGAGGGTCATTATGTGACGTCATTATAGCAGTGTGATGACCCTCTCAACCAGAAAATTTATTCTTGTCTCAGCAATTATCCATGCAGATATATATCAGCAGTCTGTAAACAGCCGAGTCTGGACCATACGATTCAGAGATTGATCTGTATGGGTGTAATATTTATAGATGGGCGTGTCCCCGTGGACAGAGTGAGGGTGGTGGAGAGGGTCATCACACTGCTATAATGACGTCACATATATATCTGTATGGGTGTGGTATTTGTAGATGGGCGTGTCCCCGTGGACAGAGTGAGGGTGAAGGAGAGGGTCATCACACTGCTATATTGACGTCACATTAATCTGTATGGGTGTGGTATTTGTAGATGGGCGTGTCCCCGTGGAGAGAGTGTGGGTGGGGGAGAGGGTCATCAAACTGCTATAATGACGCCACATATATCTGTATTGGCGTGGTGTTTGTAGATGGGCGTGTCCCTGTGGACAGAGTGAGGGTGGAGGAGAGGTTCACCACACTGCTATAATGACGTCTCATATATCTGTATGGGTGTAGTATTTGTAGATGGGCGTGTCCCTGTGGACAGCGTGAGGGTGGAGGAGAGGTTCCCCACACTGCTATAATGACGCCACATATATCTGTATGGGTGTAGTATTTGTAGATGGGCGTGTCCCTGTGGACAGCGTGAGGGTGGAGGAGAGGTTCCCCACACTGCTATAATGACGCCACATATATCTGTATGGGTGTAGTATTTGTAGATGGGCGTGTCCCTGTGGACAGCGTGAGGGTGGAGGAGAGGTTCCCCACACTGCTATAATGACGCCACATATATCTGTATGGGCGTGGTATTTGTAGATGGGCGTGTCCCTGTGGACAGCGTGAAGGTGGAGGAGAGGTTCATCACACTGCTATAATGACGTCTCATATATCTGTATGGGTGTGGTATTTGTAGATGGGCGTGTCCCCGTGGACAGTGTGAAGGTGGAGGAGAGGGTCATCACACTGCTATAATGACGTCACATATATCTGTATGGGCGTGGTATTTGTAGATGGGCGTGTCCCTGTGGACAGCGTGAAGGTGGAGGAGAGGGTCATCACACTGCTATAATGACGTCACATACAGTCAAATCCCGATGAGTCGAATGCCGGTGTCTCGAATATTATGCATAACTCGAAGTACCTGTCGGTCCCGACCATTCCCTGTTATAGTTGTCATCATTTGATTTCCGGTTACACGAATTCGTCTCATAAATACACACGATGACTCGAGAAGGAAATTTGGTCCCATGAAATTCAAACAACAGCAATCTTGTATACATAAGCCGAAGTCAGTCAATGAGAAGAACTGATAAGGTGCCCCTATTAGTGATATGGAAATCATTAGATAAACAAATGCTTAGGCGGAGGAATTAGGACTGGATCATCTTTATTTCTACCCTCATAGACATACCTATGTCTCGAATACATCGATGAGTCGAATTTATTACTTGGTCCCCAGCGATTCGACTCATCGGGATTTGACTGTATATCTGTATGGGCGTGGTATTTGTAGATGGGCGTGTCCCTGTGGACAGCGTGAGGGTGGAGGAGAGGATCATCACGCTTCCGTTGCCTGTGTACATCGCCATGTGTTGTTTGGCTGGAGCCGCCATGTTGTTGGCCATCGCCTTCCTTGTATTCAACGTTGTCTGCCGGAATGAACGGTAAAGTATCACGTGTTGAAACAAATGTGGTCATAACATATTTATGATTTGTCATAAATGGATTACAAGGTATAAAATCATTTTTTTGAAATTATGGTGCATTTCCTTGGTGAATGGATTTGCGATAGGTCTCCAACCAACTGGAATCACAGCTCTCAGAGTCAGTTTAACCAGTGTTGTCCTTGGTAAAATGCTTAATTTGGGAAAAGGGAAAGAGAACGAGAATCGGAAAGTGTATTTCTGTGCATAAACCCAGTTGTAACCCAAAGTCTTGCTGCCCAACATAGAACGTGTGCACGTTGTTCCAACTGACAATGTCACATTGTTACACGTTTATACGAACACGTCAAAATGCCCATTGTTTGATGTACAGTATACATGGCATAAACACTAATGACGCATATACACGTATGTTAAGTGAGAAAAACTCGGCCAAACGAAGCATCGGTTCTGTCAACATTTTTACTTGACTCTAAAAGTGAAAACATAATCTCTATATTCGTAAGAAATCTTAACGCATATTGCATTGGATGATTCCAACTATCTATATCACAACTATGTCATTGTGAATCACTATCAAAAAGGGATAATTTCGGTCGGTCAACCGGCAACAGCTACGAAGACATACGAAAGCAAGACAATGTCTCACCTGAAAAAATGCAAGAAAGGTGATTGCGACAGGCATCAATTTGGTCACTGATGCATCAAGTCTGGCTATATCCTCCACATGAATACCACACAACGTTTTGAAGCTTCACTGAAGCCTCAAATGGTGTAAGCGGACTTCCAGGTCATATGACCAATGAAAAATACTTGTGTGTATCGTGTATGAAATACAGTGCATTTACTGTACGCATATTGTATGGTGGATTTAAGTCAGCTGATCAGTAACGATATTCACACACTCAGTATGTTCATATTACTGCTATATTCAGTATAGTTAAGATGTCCTCCCCCAACCTGAACAACGTGATCCTCAGCGGCTGCGTCATCACCTACACAGAGGTGTTCCTGGCCGACCTCCACAACAGCAGCAGCCAGTGCCAGGTAATGTACGGTGTGTACGGGTCATGTCGGTACACGACTGTACACAATAGGCTAGTATCGGTGATCTAGAACATAGAAATGCTCAACATTATATGTTGTTCACTGGTCACGAGGTGTACTTCGGTCTCCGGGAACATAAACAAACATAAAGGGTTCATCAACCCATGGTCCCGAGGGACCAGTGAACAACGTATTTATCACGGGTATCGGTTTAAGAATTATCAGAGTTAGGAATTAGCCAATTCCGACGACAGACGACAAGAAAAACAAATTTAGAGTTATCTCCCTTCCATCGATTTGCATTCGCAAAACATCGGTAATTTCAGTACATCATTACGTGACTCAATTATTCGAGATAAAGAATTACTAACACGAAGGACTAAATGAATTCCCACAGTTTGGTATTCCCAACGGATAACATTGAAAATGTTACTCGCCAGGGGTACATTGAAAATGATAGAATTGCGCTCAGGCAATAGTTTATGTGTGAGGTAATATAAGTATGTACGTAATCCAGCGATATTTTACTGGAACTGGCTGTGTCACTTCTATTTTCATATGAAAAGAATGTATTTGTTAAAAAATGTCATTTTTAGGACAAGCCAGAGTTATGAAGTTCTTCTAAATCCTCCAGTACTTAGGAAATGAGCCTTTGTCCCTCATTCACACAAAATAAGTATTTACTTGAAGTTGCAAGTCGGCTGTTGCAGGTATTTCAAGCTAAGATCTTCGTCTTGACGGTTGGTTTCTCGATGACGTTTGGTGCTCTGTTCGCCAAGACCTGGAGGGTGTATGTCATCTTCAAATCCAAGTTCATGGTTACCACGAACAAGGTAATCCATTCAGTCTGTCGGGAGTCGTGGTGAATCTGCTGGGAGCTGGTCCTCAACAACCCGTGCTTCTCGAAAGAGGCAATCAATGAGAAAACTGACTTGGTAGATACATATCATCGTATGACAGTGTAGATCGATGCTGATGATGTCAGTCACTGGATTGTCTGGTCCAGATTATATTAGTTATATTGATGTAAAATCACTGTGTGCGCCGGTAAGCAAGATAATTACACAAACTGAACAAACACTTTCTTACATATTGGTGCCGCGTTTACCAAGACCTGAAGCACGAACGTCATCTACAGATGCAAGGTGTCAGTCTAGTATCCTTGATGGAATCTGTGGGCTGACTTCATGGTTCAATGTATATTATTATCGACTTCATACAAAATCCATCATTTAAACAAGATTGTGCATGTGAATCACCAGCATCACTTTCAATCAAAGGGGGATGATACTATGTGATTGGCGAACAAGGGAGCGTGCCCTTTCGTGCTGTGGCATTTGTCACTGGCGAACAAAGGAGCGCGTTTGTCACAAGCACAAGCACAAGCAAATAAAGCTTTCACCCGAACAAACACGTGGCCATATGGTCAGCGTATGTCATCCATGTCCTTGTAGTGACCGACGAGGTATCAATTACAGGTGTACACGGACTGGAGCCTGTTTCTTGTAGTCGCTGACGATGCACGAATAACAGGTGTACAAGGACTAGAGCCTGTTTCTTGTAGTCGCTGACGATGCACCAATAACAGGTGTACAAGGACTGGAGCCTGTTTCGTGTAGTGACTGACGAGGTATTAATTACATGTGTACAATTACTGGAGCCTGTGTCTTGTAGTGACTGACGAGGTATTAATTACAGGTGTACAAGGACTGGAGCCTATGTCCTGTAGTGACTGACAAGGTATCAACTACATGTGTACAAGGACTGGAGCCTGTTTCTTGTAGTGACTGACAAGGTATCAATTACAGGTGTACAAGGACTGGAGCCTGTTTCTTGTAGTGACTGACAAGGCATCAATTACCGGTGTACGAGGACTGGAGCCTGTTTCGTGTAGTGACTGACGAGGTATCAATTACAGGTGTACAAGGTCTGGAGCCTGTTTCTTGTAGTGACTGACGAGGTATCAATTACAGGTGTACAGAGACTGGAGCCTGTTTCTTGTAGTGACTGACTAGGTATCAATTACAGGTGTAGAAGGACTGGAGCCTGTTTCTTGTAGTGACTGACGAGGTATAAATTACAGGTGTATAAGGACTGGAGCCTGTTTCTTGTAGTGACCGACGAGGTATCCATTACAGGTGTACAAGGACTGGAGCCTGTTTCTTGTAGTGACTGACGAGGTATCAATTACAGGTGTACAAAGACTGGAGCCTGTTTCTTGTAGTGACTGACTAGGTATCAATTACAGGTGTACAAGGACTGGAGCCTGTTTCTTGTAGTGACTGACGAGGTATAAATTACAGGTGTATAAGGACTGGAGCCTGTTTCTTGTAGTGACCGACGAGGTATCCATTACAGGTGTACAAGGACTGGAGCCTATGTCTTGTAGTGACCGACGATGTATCAATTACAGGTGTATAAGGACTGGAGCCTGATTGTTGTAGTGACTGACGAGGTATAAATTACAGGTGTATAAGGACTGGAGCCTGTTTCTTGTAGTGACCGACGAGGTATCCATTACAGGTGTACAAGGACTGGAGCCTATGTCTTGTAGTGACCGACGAGGTATCCATTACAGGTGTACAAGGACTGGAGCCTATGTCTTGTAGTGACCGACGAGGTATCAATTACAGGTGTACAAGGACTGGAGCCTGTTTCTGTTGGTCGGTGTTCTGATCCTGGTCAACTCGGGCATCCTGCTGGCCTGGATACTCACAGACTCCATCACCATCACCCATCACAGACTGACACCTCAGGTGAGATATACTTAGTACAAACATCACACCCTGACACCTCAGGTGAGATATACTTAGTACAAACACCACACCCTGACACCTCAGGTGAGATATACTTAGTACAAACACCATACACTGACACCTCAGGTGAGATATACTTTGTACAAACACCACACCCTGACACTTCAAGTAAGATATACTTAGTACAAACATCACACCCTGACACCTCAGGTGAGATATACTTAGTACAAACATCACACACTGACACCTCAAGTAAGATATACTTAGTACAAACATCACACCCTGACACCTCAGGTGAGATATACTTAGTACAAACATCACACCCTGACACCTCAGGTGAGATATACTTAGTACAAACACCACACCCTGACACCTCAAGTGAGATATACTAAGAACAAACACCACACCCTGACACCTCAGGTGAGATATACTTAGTACAAACATCACACCCTGACACCTCAGGTGAGATATACTTAGTACAAACATCACACCCTGACACCTCAGGTCAGATATACTTAGTACAAACATCACACCCTGACACCTCAGGTGAGATATACTTAGTACAAACACCACACCCTGACACCTCAAGTGAGATATACACAAACATCACACCCTGACACCTCAGGTGAGATATACTTAGTACAAACATCACACCCTGACACCTCAGGTCAGATATACTTAGTACAAACATCACACCCTGACACCTCAGGTGAGATATACTTAGTACAAATATCACACCTTGACACCTCAGGTGAGATATACTTAGTACGGACATCACACCCTGACACCTCAAGTAAGATATACTTAGTACAAACACCACACACTGACACCTCAAGTAAGATATACTTAGTACAAACATCACAGACTGATATACTTAGTACAAACATCACACACTGACACCTCAGGTGAGATATACTTAGTACAAACATCACACCCTGACACCTCAGAGATATACTTAGTACCACCCTGACACCTCAAGTCAGGTGACACCCTGATATACTTAGTACAAACATCACACCCTGACACCTCAGGTGAGATATACTTAGTACAAACATCACACCCTGACACCTCAGGTGAGATATACTTAGTACAAACATCACACCCTGACACCTCGGGTGAGATATACTTAGTTCAAACATCACACACTGACACCTCAGGTGAGATATACTTAGTACAAACATCACACCCTGACACCTCAAGTAAGATATACTTAGTACAAACATCACACCCTGACACCTCAAGTAAGATATACTTAGTACAAACATCACACCCTGACACCTCAAGTGAGATATACTTAGTACAAACATCACAGACTGACACCTCAAGTGAGATATACTTAGTACAAACATCACACCCTGACACCTCAGGTGAGATATAGGTAGAGATATACACAGACTGACACCCACCAGATGAGCTATACTTAGTACAAACCTCACAGACTGATATCAGATGTGAGATAAAGTTACGATCTCCCCAACACACACTGGCATCTGACGTTATTTTCCCCCGCTGGATTATAACAGAAAACCTTGCACAGTGCTGGGAAAATCACGACAAAACATAATTTTTTGGTGTGCCCGATTTCTTTGGCCTTTTTTCAAACAAGAACGGCCGCCACATATCAAAGAGTGCTGAAGTCCACCCAGACTATAAAAAACCTTCATTTGTTGCAATATGTGAGATATATTCGTCGTTCAAAGGGCTATTGGGGCGGTCGGGTAGCCTAGTGGTTAAAGCGTTCGCTCGTCATGCCGAAGACCCGGGTTCCATTACCCACATTGGTACAATGTATGAAGCCCATTTCTGGTGTCCCCCGCCGTACTATTGCTGTAATATTGCTAAAAGCGGCTTAAAACTAATCTCACTCACTCACTCATTCATTCACTCACTCACTTGAGTTGTATCATTGTAAGATATTTCCAAGATAAAGTATATCCCTGTATAATTTACGGTGACCTGTAGATATACATAACTTTTCCATGTATCGCCTACAGACCAAGCAGTGTTTATCGTTTGTTGCTTATAGTCGTAGTAACGCAGTGAGGTGGATGGGCATTCGTGACCAGTGTCGTGCAAGACCCCGGGTTAAGATTTGGTTCTTATCTTTTCAGACACTAACAGAAGCTGATGTCATCATCCAGCCCGTTGTCCATCTCTGTAGCTCAACGAACAGCAAGTACTACCTTGGATCCATCCTCGCTGTGCAGGGGACATTGCTGTTGTATGGAGTCTTCCTAGCCTGGGAAACCAGGAAGGTATGTCCGTAGGTGAACAATGAACAGGGTGCTTTGTTCAAAACAACCTAAGCGCTAAGACTACCTTAAGTCTTAGATTGCTTTGTACAACGGCACCCAGTTCCCTGTTTGTTTTTTATTGGGTGATATATTATTAAATGAATTTCAGGTCCACGTGGAGGTTCTGAACGACTCTGGCTACATCGGGGTCTGCATCTACAACACAGTAGTCATGGCAGTGATGGGAGTCATTGTGTGTCTCTCCCTCAGGGAGGAGGTCCTTATATATTACTCAGTTGAGTCAGCCGTCACTATCTTCACAACCACAGTCACCCAGATGCTCATCTTTGCCCCCAAGGTAACAGCCAAATCGTCACTTCAATAGGCAGCCGTTATTGAGACAAGGCCATCGATTGCCAAAGAAACAAAGAAACAGAGAAACGTTAATGCGCATACATCAATGATAAATGTTGAGAGACAAAATCCGTGTTGTCAACAGGAAGATATATTGACAACACAATCAGATTGCCATGTGATTATGTGAGCCGTAGTTCTGTGACGGGGTATTTCATGTCTTATCAAACTGAAAGATAAACACAATTTGAACAAACCGACATGTATTTTGAGTTAACTTACTAACAACCCCCATAACAATGGGTCACAAACACGCTACTAAATTAGCGGTACAAAATCATTTTGCTTTCTCCCGATAAAACCCTTAAATAGATAGAAACACAAATTGATCTTGGATGACGAAAAACATATCTTGCTATCTTGCTATCATGGAATATCTTCTGTTTTTTGTAGTTTGAATACTACTCAAATCCTTATCACTACATCTATTTGTAGATCAAAGCGTACAGGACTGACAAGAGTCTTCAGAAGCGAGGAGTTGTATCAGGCGTAAAACTCATGCATGATATCTCTCGGGTCTCGTCTGAAGGGGCAGTCACCGTTGAGGCAAGCTGTGAAGATTCATCCGAAGTCAATTCGTCGATTCAGGGGAACTATCTCGATTCAAAAGATGTTCAAGCTATTCAGTCACACGAACAGTATATCTGATGGCCGCATGTCATCAAGAGCATGGTTGGCACAATGCGCTGTAGACATTGGGTAACCCTGAGCCATGTTTGGAGTCTCTCAACATCCTCCATCACTGAACTTTCCCCAACCGACCGTGCTCAGTCAGAACTCAGTCTCACACAAGGCAGCAGTCATACCTCAATGTGTGTGTCATGGACATGTTCTCATGTGTATTAATATCATAGGTTCTGAAAACATTTTACATAATTCCTCAAAATGAAGATTTCATATTGAAATCATAGCGGACTCGCAAATCATACACATTGACATAACACAACCAGTGCACAGATGAAGGAATATGTGACAAGACAAGACACTAGTCAATTCTACTAGTTGAAATTATATATATTTAATAAAAAACGTTGGAGATACTCAGACATAACTCATCTTCAAAAGATAACCGACTAGAGGCTTGCTTTGCATCCCTATTGTATATCAGTAAGTACAGATGGACTGCCAAGTCGCTTAGCATCTGAATGATTCCTGGAGCCGTAACAACTCTGATCCAATTATCCTGAATTAATCTATTTTATTTTAAAGTCAGACATTTTCCGTTGATTCCGTATTCGTTTTCATATATGTTGAACGTGATTATTGTCTGAGATTTCAAGAACAAATTTTGTATAACATGTTCAACAAGTTATTGTCCAATGAATTTTGAATCTGTTATAATGTTGTTAGAATGGCCTTAACACCAGTGTAATGTACGTCATCATGCACGTTGTGGTGTAACGCAATTTCGGTCACCAATATATAAACATACTGATTCCTGACCAACATCTTTATAACGGTTGATACATGAAAAATCTATAACAGATATCGCCAACATCGTAAAGTGTAATGAGTCGTGAAGATTCAGGGGAGTGGTAAGGCTGGATTCAGTCAGCGTCAGGCAGAGTTCTCCCTAGAGAAGTGATAAATACACATGTAAGTTATTGTCTGGGGTTCAACACAGCGCATACACGCATAAAATAACAAAATATATTTGTATCACAAGACCTACGGTAGTGCGCGAAACTGTAATACCGTAATACATCTACAAGAATGTTCATCATGAACGTTGTTTCATTTCAAGCTGACAATGTGACTGTGAACAATGAATCTATTGTGTTGGAATTGTGGTTATTGTGGCATTTCTTAAAGGGCAAAACAAGGTCCAGTTAGATGCGAATTATGTCAAACATGTATAATTATATAATGTCCAAAACATGTCTATATTCTGCTTATCATGAATACTTAATATCTATATGAAATGAAAACGTGTATAACATTCATCTTTACTATTGTAATTTATTATTGTCTGATATGTTTATATGATTCATTGCATTGAAAATTACCGTGATGATAACCGTTTGTTTGAATCTACATCTGTATAAATATTGCAACTCTGATGTCATCTATTGTTTTTTATCCATCTTAGATATTAAAGCAAAATAGCCATGAGACAGCACGTTCTTTATGAAGCTTTCTATTGCCACTGATGCATAAACTTCGACACGATTTATCAAATTCGCATATCAAATCTTAAACCTTTGAGTGAGTGAGTGAGTTTGGTTATACGCTGCTTTTAGCAATATTCCAGCAATATCACGACGGGGGACACCAGAAATAGGCTTCACACATTGTACCCATGTGGGGATTCGAACCCAGATCTTCGGCGTGACGAGCGAACGCTTTAACCACTAGGCTACCCCACCGCCCCCCCCTTGAACCTTTGAAACTATTTTGTGTCAACTTGCAACTTCAAATGCATAATATGTTTAAAGCATACATCAGTTTTCATATATACTTCTGGTATATGTACCTATAGGTCTTTCAAGCAAACAACATGCGTCCAGTAGACCAGTAGAGTGAAGCCAGAGATGCTGGTGCCGGAGATGGTCTTGGAATGTAACGGTAAAGGTATCTACATATTAAGGAGAAAATAGAGCATCATTCTCTGATACCATTACCCGACAAACTGTCATCACATGACACCAACCCTCTCATTACACGATTCTACAATTTCTTGTTTGTTTGAAATGTAGACGTCCTCCGTGGTCTAGTGGAGAGCGCGGCTGTGTAAGGCTGTGATCTATGCATGATAGCTCCGCTAGTTATGGAGTCTTGACACTGTGACCAACATGATGGTCGTACACCACAGGGGAGCTCTCTGCTGTCACAAATAACAGTTGTCAGTTATTCCAGTAAGACCAAACATATGATGAACTAGTACTGTCTGGTACCAGTTGCAAATAACGTTCACATCACTGTAGATGAATGGCGTATGAATGTTGTTTAGAGTAGATTAAGTCAGTGCGTGGCCATTGATAGAACAAGACAAAAAGAAGAAACACATTGTTTCCATTACAACTGATATCCAAAGTGTGAAAAGGCCTCAAATATCATATTCACATTCTGTCTTGATTGATTGGTGAACGTACATGGTATTTGTTACATATTAAATGATTACCACAAAATGCCATCAGAGCACATTAACGAATGTAAACATTTGAATTGATTCCGGAAATCGTATCAATTCGTCTTTTTAAACCGGATCCATAATGCTCCATAAATGTCAACGCAATTGGAGATACACTGCATGGTCCAAGAAATTTAAAAAATGGATTTCTGACGAGAGATCTTGCTTTGAAATAAATATAAATAACCCGAGTTAATGGCGGCCATCAAGTGTGAGTTATGAGTTGATTCTCGGTCGTGGATGTATTGTTAATTGTTTAACAATGATCGAGTGAGTGATACTGTGAACGACGTCCCCTGGTCAACACAGAACTTGACCATACAATCCATTTGGTCATCTCTTACCACTGACAGAGTATTGGGTGCCTGGAATACCCTCGGCGGATGGGTATGCTAACAATATCCAACAGCAGCTGGATACAGAAACACGACATTGTCAGTATGCTGCCCTACTGTGCAGGGGTTTATCGGCAGTTTAAGGGTCTTGGAGTATGGACCAGATAGTATTTAAGATTTAATAGGAAACAAACTGTTCAGACACCTGAAACAGATTCCTACAAGTCACCTTCCAAGAAGACTAAGACAACACAGGTTTCACTTTGTGAATATATGAATGGAGACAGGTTTCTTACAGAATATGAATCAATGGTCAATTGACAGTCAACATTGACACTAGATTTTAATTTACAGAACATATTGAAAACGTGTTTCGTTTACACATTTGTATTTGACCACATATAACTTTATACAACATCCTCGTCTTCTAACATCTTGGCCTCGGCTGCAGCTGTGTTTCCATCCTGCTTGTTAGAGGCCTCACCTCCCGCGCCAGGTTTGAAGAGATGCTGGAGAACAGACGCTGCGAAACAGTCACCACTTACATTGGTTATTGTCCTCATGCGGCCTCTGAAATAAACACAGTGGGAATTTAGGTAGCATGTGCTGGGGAGGTGGCCACGCTGGTTCTTTGAGTTATCATACAATAAACAAAATCGCCCCAAAATTGGGGGAATTTATACAAATGTCACATCTTCTTCTATGTCAAGGTATCAGCTCTAGCTATTTGTATCGCCACATGGGTACAGTGTGTGAAGCGCAGGTCAGGTGTCACAGATGTGATAGTGGTGGGATAATGCTAATAGATGAGTAGGACGATACTTACTCAACTCAAAATTCAAAACCTTAGTGAAACCTTTAATTTGAGGTCATGTTGAAACGCCAAGCCTCAATGACAAAAGTGATGCTTGATGCAATTCCCTGTTTAGACTCCCATATTCTCTCATTGCACGATGCAATACAACAGTGCTTCAGGAACGCATCACGTGATACAGTCGGATCCATACAGCGGACTGTTCAGTGTTGTGATAAGTGGAAAGGCTTTTGTCACTTTATTGTTCTGACATGCTCTGAATTCATACTCGATACACATTCTTAATAGTTCACTTTATCTGGAACTCTAAAACGTGAGCAGTATTATCCGGTACTTAAATATCAACACTTGAGGTAATGTTCCTTGGAACTACGGGTATCACACAATGGTAAACGTCTGAGACTTGCACTTCACTGTTACCTCTCACATTCAGGTAACACACCATACCTGGCATAACTTGTTCAATAGCAGAGATCTTTGTACAATACTGTTTAGTTATACTAAGAGATTCTATCACTCACAAGAACCAATCGATAGCCATTATCATGAAGAGGTCTTTGATTGGCAGTCCCACGGAAGACATGACCATCATGGTGATAATGAGTCCAGTGCCGGGAATTCCTGCTGCTCCAATACTGGCCAGAGTTGCTGCAAGACTGAAAACAACGAACCCAAACATCCAGTGTCTCGTCCGGAACTTTCAACTCAGACATTTCCCATCTATTGTGTTGGATGTAATTACATGTTTTGCAGTAATTCACTACTGGTTGTAATGTGCTTGTAATGCGTTCATCATTCCTCTCTTACTAGATACTAATATCTCATAAATTTGGAAATTTTATTTTATTTCCGACTATCACCTAAATACTTTGAAGAGTACAGATACATTATTACTAGTGATGATGACACCTTTGAAAAAGAGAAACACTAAATTGTGCGCTTGACCATGCCATATAAACATATTGAAATTAAAATACCCTTTTCTTTGAGCCATCCTTTCCCAAAACGTCAAAAAACATTTAGTTTGGAAAACCCCCCAAAACTTTCCATTGTTTAAGAGATAATGTAAATATACTCAGTCGGTCACCAACAGGAGATCAAAATGTCCAGTATCATCACAAAGAGAACTAACAAACTTAAATACTTACCCTAGTGTGACCATCTGTGTAAAATCTAGATTGATCCTGTTGAGCTGAGCCAGATACACAGGAGTAATGACTTGGAACATAGCTGCCCCATCCATATTAATGGTCGCTCCAATTGGCAGCACGAAACGGGTGATTGTCTTATCAATCTTTAGCTTCTCTTCACAACAGCGTATTGTCACAGGGAGAGTGGCTGAGCTGCAATCATATCAAGAATGTTCTTTAACGTAAAATTAGCCAGTTAAACAAATACATGACAGTAGTCAGTAGTACAACAGAAGGACCAGGCATCAGTTCATATACATCCAATCAGTCACTGCACACAGACCTACCAGACAAACAGCATGTCAGTCATATCGTATGGCAATCACCATGATGTGGTGGTAGTGTTGGTCTGGTCTCCTCCGTTTGTTTGTTGTGTGACGCCGCACTCAGCGATATTCTAGCTATGTGACGGCGGGGTCTTGATGTAATGCCCAGGGACATAAAGGTTGAAAGAACGCAAATACAGTGACAGTTGTTTTTTTATATAATAAGTGACATACCTTGAGTCTGTTCCAAGAGCTGTGACAAGAGCTTGAAGTATTCCTAGAGTTACTCTGAAGGGATTCCTCCTTGTGAAGATGTAATATATCAACGGAATGATAAAGACAGCGTGGATGAAGAGACCAGTCAGGCCAGTGACCATGTACATCCCAAGATGTTGAGCTGTCTCTGCAAGGTCTTCCACAGCCAGAATCTTCCCCGCTATCAGAGTGAGAATTCCGATCGGTGAGTACCTGAGACAGAACCTTAATGATGAGCTGGTTGATGTTGTATTTCAGCCACATTCAAGCTATAGTCTGTTGGCAGTGAAAACGTACCGATGAATTTCACTTTATTGGGATTTGTTTTTATTTGGTATCGCAGACAGTTGGCAATGTAAATATGTTTATTAGACAGTTTCGTATGCGGGGTAATGATATGTTAAAGCAGAAATGTCATTCAGTTAATCATGAAAGTTCTAGATATGATTCATATCGTCAATATAAGTCGTTACTTGAGTCTTATTTAGCTGACTTACAATACAGAAATGTCCGCAATGCTTTTATACGTTTTAGATTAGGCCTTAAGCATTTAGTAATTAACTGTGGAGGATATTTTTCTGTTGAAAAGACCCATGGATTATGTCCATGCTGTAACATTATTGAAGATGAATTCCATTTTATGTTTATTCGTCCTGTATATGAACATCTAAGAAATACTTATCTACCACAATTGCCTTTATCTCATATCAGTGGTAAATTATTGTCTTCCTTAAAGAACCTTCAAAACGACACAAAGTAGCCCTATCTATTTACAATGCATTTATGTTGAGAAAAGAATTGGTTAGTTAGAAGTTAATTATATATACCATTGTTAATATGTATCTCTTTTGTATATGGTCCTATGGCCTTTCATGCAATAAAGAATCGATTGATTGAATGATTGACTGATTGACGTAAAGAGGTGATGAGATAGGTGAAATCACTGATATAGATAGTGTTGATGTGTTCCTCATGTTATGTTCTGATGTAAAGAACAGATAGTAAATGTAAGAATTAATAACCTGTGACAATGTTTTCTGTTAGCGACTTCCCAGGATGTACAACTCCAGATACCTTTATAGTTTTAGAAACATGAAGCTGCTTTCATTGTATACAACTGAATAACGTCATTTGTTTGTGTTTGAGTAAAAATGTTCCTGATGCATTATGAATAGCATAAGAGAGTCATATGCTCTTCGGACCTGATGGCCTATAATTTGATAAAATTTCAATTTGCAAGCACTTGTTGTTTTACACGTGTAAACTCGAGGTCCTCAACAACAAATGTCCAAATGAATCGTGTGGTCAGGCTGGTAACTTTGCGTGTCAATATACACAGATAGCAGGGGGCGGCACAGGGGGGTCATCGCGGTCCTCATCTGTCTATAATCGTCACTGTTATAATCGTGTTGAACAGGTTTGCTTCTATTCAAGTATAGGTGTTGTTGTTTTGTGAGTACATTCTGTTAGTGATACAATGAGCTTTCCAATTATTTCACTCTGACTCTGTCTTAACACACAAATTGTGCATGTTACCAAAAAACATGCCCATCACAAAGAAAATGGCCTCTTGTGTTTTACAATTCGTTAATGACATCTTGTGAAAAAAGTGGAAGTGCTTTGTTCTACTGCAGGAAGACCTTCCTCAGCTTATAAGCCACAGTACAAGACGTGGACACGACTTTATTTGGAATACATTGAATATATAACGGTCTATAAATTTTGCAAAAGACATTGAAAAAAATATGGTAGCGCTTTGTTCTACTGTGGGAACGCTTTCTCAATAAATAAACCTCTTTCAAAAGTTGGATATAAATATGGAATAAATATTGAATATATAATGGTCTGGTTAAGAGTCAGTCTGTGAATTCGTTGATTTTGTGAATGATTATACCTCACTTTGACGTCAATAATTGTGTTCTTGATATATTATCTGTCATTTAAATATATTTTTATTTGTCCTGTTTCCAGCGTGTTGTGCATATTCTTGACTTACAGCATCACTCTGCTAACCATCTTCATGGTAATGATGGTTATGCCATTGAAGAATTTGAGAAGAACCTTTCCGTTTTTTCCCATTTTTCCGAGTATGGCTCCAAACACACAGCAGTACACCAACAGGCCTGGAAAACACACAAGAGTATACCAACAGGCCTGGAAAACACACAGCAGTACACCAACAGGCCTGGAAAACACACAGCAAGACACCAACAGGCCTGGAAAACACACAGCAGTACACCAACAGGCCTGGAAAACACACAGCAGTACACCAACAGGCCTGGAAAACACACAGCAGTACACCAACAGGCCTGGAAAACACACAGCAAGACACCAACAGGCCTGGAAAACACACAGCAGTACACCAACAGGCCTGGAAAACACACAGCAACAGGCCTGGAAAAACACAGGCCTGGAAAACACACAGCAGTACACCAACAGGCCTGGAAAACACACAGCAGTACACCAACAGGCCTGGAAAACACACAGCAGTACACCAACAGGCCTGGAAAACACACAGCAGTACACCAACAGGCCTGGAAAACACACAGCAGTACACCAACAGGCCTGGAAAACACACAGCAGTACACCAACAGGCCTGGAAAACACACAGCAGTACACCAACAGGCCTGGAAAACACACAGCAGTACACCAACAGGCCTGGAAACACACAGCAGTACACCAACAGGCCTGTAAAACAAACAGCAGCACACCAACAGGCCTGGAAAACACACAGCAGTACACCAACAGGCCTGGAAAACACACACACAGCAGCACACCAACAGGCCTGGAAAACACAGCACCAACAGGCCTGTACAGCAGTACACCAACAGGCCTGGAAAACACACAGCAGGCCTGTAAAACACACAGCACCAACAGGCCTGGAAAACACAGCAGCACACACCAACAGGCCTGGACACCAACAGGCCTGGAAAACACACAGCAAAACACAGCAGTACACCAACAGGCCTGGAAAACACACAGCAGCACACCAACAGGCCTGGAAAACACACAGCAGTACACCAACAGGCCTGGAAAACACACAGCAGTACACCAACAGGCCTGGAAAACACACAGCAGTACACCAACAGGCCTGGAAAACACACAGCAGCACACCAACAGGCCTGGAAAACACACACACGCAGTACACCAACAGGCCTGGAAAACACACAGCAGTACACCAACAGGCCTGGAAAACACACAGGCAGGACACCAACAGGCCTGGAAACACACAGCAGTACACCAACAGGCCTGAAAACACAGCAGTACACCAACAGGCCTGGAAAACAAACGGCAGTACAACAGGCCTGAAACAAAAGACACCAACACACAAACAGCAGTACACCAACAGGCCTGGAAAACAAACAGCAGTACACCAACAGGCCTGGAAAACACACAGCAGTACACCAACAGGCCTGGAAAACACACAGCAGTACACCAACAGGCCTGGAAAACACACAGCAGTACACCAACAGGCCTGGAAAACACACAGCAGTACACCAACAGGCCTGTAAAACACACAGCAGTACACCAACAGGCCTGGAAAACACACAGCAGTACACCAACAGGCCTGGAAAACACACAGCAGGCCTACACCAACAGGCCTGTAAAACACACAGCAGTACACCAACAGGCCTGGAAAACACACAGCAGTACACCAACAGGCCTGGCAAACACACACGCCTGTAAAACACACAGCAGTACACCAACAGGCCTGGAAAACACACAGCAGTACACCAACAGGCCTGGAAAACACACAGCAGTACACCAACAGGCCTGGAAAACACACAGCAGTACACCAACAGGCCTGGAAAACACACACACGAGTAAACACCAACACGAGTAAACGTGTATTTATACACTCTTCAAAACAAAAGAAACTTGACATGCTGTTTTGGAGTTTACTTACTGAGTGCATATAGCTGATTCAAACATGACATCATTGCTCAGTTACAGTAAAATCATCACTTTACAAATTTCCAAAACATGATTATCCAGAAAGTGTTTGGTACAACCCCAGAGGGCTATTAAAGCCACTTGGTCATAGTAAAATCTGGTGTGGCAGCTGTGACCCATAGAAGAATGGAGATGCCGAATGCTGTCTTGAGGAATGTTTTGCTGATGTGCTGTGTGCAGTTCTTGTAGTGTCTGACGTGGCGGATGACGCTGGTGCAAGCGTAGATCAAGGGTATCCCATAGATGTTCAATGAGGGACAAATCCGGTGATCGAGAAGGCCAAGGTAACACCTGAACATTGTTTTGCTGGAGGAAGACCTGTCAAACACGTGCAACGTGAGGTCGAGCATTGTCATGTTCCAAAGATCACGTTGATGTAGGGAACGACGTGACGTTGAACTGGTCTTCTGGCAAAAAGTCTGGCTTTCCATAACCAATTGCGCACTGTCTGGTCGGAGATTCGGAGCAGTCCAGAGATTTGTATTGTTCTGGATGGTGCGGCCGTGGTGTTTGAACGAAAACGTCTCAACCGGATGTAGCGATCCTGGGCAGCGGTGATAACTCCAGGTCGACCTGACCTGGGTCTGTCATTAATACTCCCAGAATTTATGTATGGGGTCCATAGGTTTGAGATGGTCTGTCTGGACACTCAGGGTGTCGTTGAGCTCCTGTCTTTTCATTCTATAGTGGCTTAAAGCAATGCTTGTGGAATACCTTTCATGTGGCCTACCGTCATAGGCTTCAGCTCAGGGTGATACACAATTTCATTATGCTCGTGCATTTCATGTAGGGTGCGTTTTAGCGATTCACTACAGACGTGAGTGTAACGTTACGTTTATATTAAACGTTTCTTTTTTCAAACGTTTGATCGTCGGCAACCATTCCCCACATGTTGGAATTCAGCACTGTCCTATGTCAAGTTTCTTTTTTTTGAAGAGTATATATATCATATACTGAAGACATTCAGTCAAATACTACTACTCTGAATTACTCAGCACTATTCCTGCTATATATAGGCGTCCAAGATACTTTTTTATGGATTAAACTTCTGTTTTATTTCATAATGAAAAAATAGAAATAAAAGAGAAGTTTAGTCCATAAAAAGTAGCTTGGACATCTATATACAACTTCTAAATGCCACTAAAAGACATTATATATAGGCGGTCTGTAAATAATGGAGACAGGAACAGACAATCCAGTGACTGACGTGAACATCGATCTTTTTATAGAGTCATAATAATTTGGTCCATCTTTAGTTTGTCAAGCGTTGTGAAGGGATGTGCAACTTACAGATAATCTAAAACACATTCAGAAGGTAGACCCAAATATTGGTCAGGTTAACCAGTCTCAAACTCAATACCACTATTTGAACATGTTCAAGACATTCGGGTTTCAAACTTGTTTGAACGAAATATTTCTGTCCAACCTGCCTGTTTCATTGGCCAGGAGTTAAGTATGAAAATTTGTTGTACAACCTTTTACAGATGCAACACGTTATATTTGGGATTACACTTCCATAGTAAAGTACAGACTCTAGTACTTTTGTTGGGTTGAGTCGCACCCGAGATTCGAACGCACACCCTCAGAGTCAGGCACCTAATCGCCAGCACACAAAGTCAGCCGCCTAACCCGCTCAGCCACCGCAGCTTCAACGAAAATGGAAGTCGGACAACTGGTAGACTACACCAAGGACTTTGTGTTCTCTCTGATAAGTGTAAGTTGGCACGGCTCCTATGGCCAAAAGCTATGAATACTAAATGCCATTGTGTATTCATACACAGATGTTTCTATAATGTCTGAAGGATTAATCATACACATTATCACATACACAAGAACTTCACTTCTGTTACGAGGCTTGTTGTAGTGAGCTAATTTCCTTACCGATAGTATTTACACCAGGCGTGTAGGCAAGTTTACCCACCCAAGTTACATCGTCATCTAGTTCACGTGTTACGTTAGTTGACACGTTAGCTCCAGTGGTGGAAGGGATTGTTTCATTTCTCTCCATACTTCCCTTTGATGGCTCTTTCCGTTTATACACCGTGCCAGTACTTTGGAACGCTGCACGAATCAGATTATCAGGGAACAGATTCCTGGAAATAAACAAATTAGAGTATATCATTTTTTCAGATCAGAAGGCACGTTTCTGTGAGCACATTGTGCGATCGTCATTAGCTGCAAACTTTGGATCGATTATCAACCTATGGTGGTGGAAGAATATTCCTCCCTGTCCGAGGCTTTACAGTTCCAGGTGTAATTGATAAGCCTTTATTTAAACTAACTGATGGCAAGGCATTACGTTGAGAATTCTACTTCAGTTTAGCCACTGTATGTAAACATTTTCCTATGCTGTCATTACTGTTTTGCACAAATGTCCGTAATATGCCGCTAAACTGCTTTCAGAAACAACATCTGCAAACATAAACCTCGCACTGTCTGAACCGACTGCTGAGACTTATCAGCATTGGTTCCGGCACTAGAACGCCGTAGTTACCTACCGCACAAGGCCCAAGAAAACATCCTTGCGTGATGCTTGATGAAATTGCACAGGGTCAGAAATAACACCTGCAAACATTAACCACAAACTGTCTGAATGACCTGGACGTATTGGTTCCGGCACTAGAACGCTGTAGTTACCTACCGTACAAGGTCCATGAAAACATCTTTGGATGATGCTTGATGAATGATGTCAGCAGTGCCGGCGTTGGTGGTGGTGAAGTCGATATTTCCAGGCTTGATGCTGAACACAAGGATAAATCCTAAGATGATGGCGATGACAGTGGTAGAAATGTAATACGCGATAGTGAAAAGTCCCATCTTCCCTGATGACTGACTGTCCATGCCTGCAACACCTGAACAGTAGAGAGTGGTTACTGGTGTGTATGGATTCACGCCACCTTTACTCATCTTCCAGCATTATCACAGCGAGGGACACCTAGGCTACCCATCTTCCAGCATCTTCCTGAACAGCGAGGGACACCCAGGCTACCCCATCTTCCAGCATTATCACAGCGAGGGACACCCAGGCTACCCCATCTTCCAGCATTATCACAGCGAGGGACACCCAGGCTACCCCATCTTCCAGCATTATCACAGCGAGGGACACCCAGGCTACCCCATCTTCCAGCATTATCACAGCGAGGGACACCTCAAATTCTTCCATTATCACACACATATTTTATCACAGCCAGGCTACCCCATCTTCCCATTATCAGCGAGGGACACCCAGGCTGTCCAGCCTTGTCCCTTGTGTGTTACTTGTATGAACACATGGCTGATCAATGCTCAATCATCTTGAGTATTTGACTAATTCCGTTCATAATGCAGACATCAATGAACTTTGCTACCAACATCGTGGCACTTTTATGCAAATTGTTAACATAAATCAGGGCAGTTTTTGTCGGTACATTAGAGATCTAGGCCATGAAAGTAGTACGGGGTATGTAATTGTAGTCTCGGATTATGAGTGGTATGTAATGGTGATGCAAATTGTACAGAGGATGTAATGAGTCTAAGTCATCAAGGTATGGCAAATGTCCCAACATCCTGCACTGTTACCTGTGACTTTTGACTTACCTGTAATCATGCTTGACACTATCAGGGGCACCATCAACATCTTCAACATCCTGATAAATATTTCTCCGGGAAACTCCACCAAGGCAATGGTGTCTGCTGTAGGCTGGAACCGCCGACATAGGAGCCCAATGGTCGCCCCAATAAACACTGACAGTATCGTTGCTATGAGCAACGCGTTTCCACGAAGATGTCTCAGGAGCTGCCAGTCAACATTCAGATTGGTAAGTGAATGGATAAGTGAAATATGCTGTCAACTTTCTGAGGAGTCTTATTTTCAGGTTGTTAAAGAGTCGGGTGTCTTTGCCTCTTGTATGTCACCTACCCAATGATGTGGCTGGATTCTCATAAAAGCAATCACATGATTGTCTGGCCCCGACTCGATTATTGACAGATCACCGATATTTAGCTGGAATATTGCTGACCTCGGCGTATGACATAGTGCAACAACACCACGTAGTATTGTCTACCATGGAGCTGTTGGATCAAGAAAATATCAACGTTCAACAGAAGTGCGGTGACACGAAGTCAACACGGCCACACTCCTGTTACGTCAAACTTGGTGTCAGGACAGGTAAATGTGGGTATATAGGCCCTGAATACCTACGAGGAACTGAACAGAGGATTGAATTATGTGAGTAGGTGATGGATTCATCGGCGCTTCAAACAATATTCCAGCTATATCACAGCCAGGGGATACAAAAGGATTTAGGATTTGTGAACGCTTAGATCAGTTGATTGTAACAGTCCTAAAATGTGTTAATTTATATTAATTCAAATCCATTGTTACATTGGAGCACCACACACTGAATACTACCAATTCTAGTAACGTTTGCTTTCTAAACCGACACCTATTGCCAGTAGCCATCACTGGAAGCTGCCCGTTATGTCGACCAAGTGTAAAACAATGCTGCAAGACTTACACAACTGTGTTTTAGGAAAAGATGGAAGCTCCTTCATGGTGAGGGTAACAGGTAAATACTCTCATCCAATGGGTGAGCACTATTTTGGTGAGATGGAGTACATTGTTGGAAGCGTACTGACACAGATTTTGGAGCCGTGAAATGCTCGTTCATCCTGAAGCTTATACATTTCAGCACAACAGGCATTAAACAATAAACGCTTGAGCACACAAAAATGTGCTTGATGGGGGGAATACAGTTCCTTGAACTCGGGTATTTTTTACCTTGCTGTAAGGCACAGAGCTTGTGCCAGTACTGGTACTCGACCCCTATGTATTACATAAGGCATGCAATTAACACTGACCTTCTGCTGGCGTGACTGGATGCGAGCCTAAACACAATAAAAGTTACAGATAAACTAAAGTAAGGGTTAAACATGGTGACGTTCACTAATATGTCTAAATATTGCTTTTGCACCATATATTCAGAACACAAGTTACTTCAAAATAATCTTCGAATTGGTTACATATTATTCTGAAAAAACAACAACAACGTTCCATTCAGATATACTGACAACGTGAGATGTTTCCGTACAAACTTACCATAATGCTTCACTGGTAGGGCAAGTGATGGCTCTTTCACCTTTCTGACGATATTTCTGAATGACGCCAACACACCCTGATTCTACAAGGCCTCACAGAGAAATATATGTTTCCGTCGTGGCGTCTCTGAACCGAAGTGGAAGGGGTGTGTCCCTTATAGAAGAACGAAGCTGCACAACAAGTCCAGCATGCCACAACGGCAGTATTTACCTATTGCACTCAGTGATAGCGGTTATCCAGGAAAGACGTTGACATCGACACGTCATGAAACACGTTAATATATTTTGTTTTAACATTTCACTCTGGTAGATACGTATTCCACGTCACGCACGGCCCGAGCTCTCTTGTATTGGTGGGCACCTAGAGACGCATACCAAGTGTGACTTGAAATAACTACAGCTATTGCATTTGCTATTGATGCATAACGTTGTTTAACCTTTTATGTTAGATGCATCATATACAATATATGCATACACATTTTTTCAGATACACTGTGGTATATCTACTCATGGGACTATCTACTGAAAGCAAACAACAAGCGTCCAGTAGACATATCGGGTTGTATGATAACCAAGTCGCCGGAGATGCTGTTGGAATGTCCAGTAGACATATCGGGTTATATCATCACCAAGTAGCCGGAGATGCTGTTGGAATGTCAAGTAGACATATCGGGTTGTATGATAACCAAGTAGCCATATCGGGTTGTATGATAAACAAGTAGCCATATCGGGTTGTATGATAACCAAGTAGACATATATGCTGTTGAAATATGAATTAATACGCATATAGAGTGCCTGGGCTTTGAAAATATTGACAAAACATTCATCTATATATAAAGAGGAAAATAGAACATCATTTTCAGATACTCCGAACACTATACAAAACGTCATTACACCATACCTTCCTTTCCTTCCACGATCGTGTAATCCAATGTGACATGCAATATTGAACAACCTTGATGGATATCAGCTTCTTTTATTACGTGAGTGCGACGTTTCGATACAGAGCGGTACAAGAACGGTGACAACAGTTCAAGAATCTGTATCCATACGTTGCACTCACGTAATAAAAGAAGTTGTTATCCATAAAGTTTGTTCAATATTATTTGTGAAACCTGTCCTGCTTCAGGCTAAGGTACCCTTAATTTTAATATGAGCTGGGCCCGTAGTCTCAGGCGAGGTTGCCCTGCCTCATGACTGGAGTGACAGATCATGTGTAGTCTCAGGCGAGGTTACCCTCATGCCTCATGATCATGTGTACTGGAGTGACAGATCATGTGTAGTCTCAGGCGAGGTTGCCCTGTCTCATGACTGGAGTGACAGATCATGTGTAGTCTCAGGCAAGGTTACCCTGCCTCATGACTGGAGTGACAGATCATGTGTAGTCTCAGGCAAGGTTGCCCTGCCTCATGACTGGAGTGACAGATCATGTGTAGTCTCAGGCAAGGTTACCCTGCCTCATGTCTGGAGTGACAGATCATGTGTAGTCTCAGGCAAGGTTACCCTGCCTCATGACTGGAGTGACAGATCATGTGTAGTCTCAGGCGAGGTTGCCCTGCCTCATGACTGGAGTGACAGATCATGTGTAGTCTTGCCCTGGCGAGGTTGTGTAGTCCCTGCCTCATGACTGGAGTGACAGATCATGTGTAGTCTCAGGCCTGCCTCATGAGGTTGATCCTGTCTCATGTCTGACTGGAGTGACAGATCATGTGTAGTCTCAGGCGAGGTTGCCCTGCCTCATGACTGGAGTGACAGATCATGTGTAGTCTCAGGCGAGGTTGTCCTGCCTCATGACTGGAGTGACAGATCATGTGTAGTCTCAGGCGAGGTTGCCCTGCCTCATGACTGGAGTGACAGATCATGTGTAGTCTCAGGCGAGGTTGTCCTGCCTCATGACTGGAGTGACAGATCATGTGTAGTCTCAGGCGAGGTTGCCCTGCCTCATGATTGTAGTGACAGATCATGTGTGACAGATCATGTCTCAGGCAAGGTTGCCCTGCCTCATGTCTGGAGTGACAGATCATGTGTAGTCTCAGGCGAGGTTACCCTGCCTCATGTCTGGAGTGACAGATCATGTGTGTCTCAGGCGATGTGTGACTGGAGTGTCTGTGTAGTCTCAGGCGAGGTTGCCCTGCCTCATGACTGGAGTGATCATGTGTAGTCTCAGGCGAGGTTGTCCTGCCTCATGACAGATCATGTGTAGTCTCAGGCGAGGTCAGGCAGAGGTCCCTGCCTCATGACTGGAGTGACAGATCATGTGTAGTCTCAGGCGAGGTTGCCCTGCCTCATGACTGGAGTGACAGATCATGTGTAGTCTCAGGCGAGGTTGCCCTGCCTCATGTCTGGATTGTCAGATCATGTGTAGTCTCAGGCGAGGTTGCCCTGCCTCATGACTGGAGTGACAGATCATGTGTAGTCTCAGGCGAGGTTGCCCTGCCTCATGTCTGGAGTGACAGATCATGTGTAGTCTCAGGCGAGGTTACCCTGCCTCATGTCTGGAGTGACAGATCATGTGTGGAGTGAGTCTCAGGCTCAGGTTTGCCCTGCCTCATGTCTGGAGTGACAGATCATGTGTAGTCTCAGGCGAGGTTGCCCTGCCTCATGTCTGGAGTGACAGATCATGTGTAGTCTCAGGCGAGGTTGTGTAGTCTCAGGCTGGGTTACCTGCCCTGCCTCATGAACTGCATGAATCTGGTGTAGTCTCAGGGCAAGGTTGTCCTGCCTTGTCTGGTGACAGATCATGTGTAGTCTCAGGCGAGGAAGCCACTTTGGTAACGTTTGTAACATCAAGGGACATAACCTAGAACGGAATGTTCACGACGGAGTACATCGCGTCAAAAGCACTCTCCGCGTTAATATAGTTTAGCTTTACAAAAATATATTTTGGTGTTTGAAAGGATTGTGTTGTTATGATTCATGTAACTGTCAGTTGAACTTGTATTTGTTTCCTTTCATCAGGTGACGAATGCACTGCCTCATGTGAGCAAGCTGTCCATGAAGCTCTTCATGGGTGTTCATCGAGTGTGCAAGCTCCTCTCCGTGATGTATTATCTCTCCACGCAATCTCAATGTATAGGCCCCGCGATGGCGAGAGTTCTTAACGGTTGTCAGTGCAATTAGTTACATCAGTACACAGTTCAGTATTCAACTAGGTCTACTACCAACCCGTTTCTGTTTAACCGTGACATCCTCAACCAGCGAGAATATATAGATCATAAACAATAATCACAAACCATAACCATAGGGAATCCATCCCAGAGGCAGCGTCTGTACGACATCATTGACTGGTAAATCACGTTAATCTAATGTGGCCCCAAGACACAAAGGTTTGCCAATGACAAATACACTTTGTACATCAATGAGCTTTTATTTCTAGAAATATTTTCTGACCCAGTTGTGTTTACACCAAGGTTTAGGGTTCTTCTGGTACTTAACCCTGCCAAGTTTCTTTCTCTTCATATTTCTGTAGGAGCATCCAAGCCCGGCTTGTTCACAGGTCTTTGCCAGGCGTGCCTTCAACTCATAATCACACCACCCTTTCGTTATTCCGAAATGTGCACCCTGAAACAAATGTCACACAATGACAGCTCAAACAATTTTTGAACAGATGACGTTCACTGAGAACTCCTGGTGTGGTCACTGATTGTCAGTGAAACATTAATTTACAAATATATCTGATTTGGACGCCATCTGAATTTGTGTCTGCAGATAGAGACTGATAAATATATGTATAGATGTTTTAATTAATGGATGTGACTTTGTGACTCCGACTCGTGCTATAAAACCCTGATATAAACCAGAGTCCATGTAGACTCCTCGTGATAATACTACAATATGTGTGTGTGTGTGTGTGTGTGTGAGAGTGAGAGTGCGTCTGCATATTCGTGCACGCACATATAAAGGCATTTACGTTACGTTTTCCCTTGTTTTCATCTTCATACTACGATGCTTTATTACACATTGATCGTTTCAAGGCTGTTTACTAAAGACAGGGTTATAACTGTCAGTGTTGAATGACGCTTCTGTGTACTGGTATCTTACAAGGACGTAGGAACCTTACACATGAGTAGCAAACAATATGTCGGAAAATCACAGGCCCCAATATTTTTCGTATTTGTCCTCGACTAGCACCAGCATCCGTAACGGCAGTGAACATCAAGACACACATCAACATCAACACCGACAGCGACTGCATCTGTCAACAAAATCAATACACAATTTATTAAACAGCATCCGATTGTTCTGCAAGTGTGCGCCAGACAAGAACTGGGGAGAGAGAACCCTGTGTGCTTCTAAGAAAGTTCCATACAGATACAGCCTGAAATACAATGCTGCATCTTTCATTCAATACGCAGTGACTCGACCCACAATTTGGATGTTTGCCTGTTTGTTGGGAACATGGTACACATGCGCGAGGTTCTTGGTTCTTGGTGTGATATTTTCGGTGTCCGTTGGGGTCATATACGGATATCGATGCAAATTAGAGAGGTCATATGCACATTTTAGTGTCTACCTTCACATTGTAAACAAGCATGGCGTCACGTGTCGGCGATCGTGTCCGGATTGACTGCCCTGCAGCTGGTTACGGTACTGTCAGTGCTTTGATCCAAGAAAATTCATGTCTGGTTATAATAGATGGAGTGGATTAGGAAGCGAAGATAGAATTTCACAGGCTTACGAAGATACCAACACCAGTTCCCGACCGACTGTCAGTGTTAGCGAGCTGACGGCACAGCAATCCAGGTGTCGAATGTCACGCGAACATTAAAGTGTATTTGTTGTTCAAAAGGTTAATTGAAGGTTTCTGAAGTTCCACACAAGTTTGTTGTTATTTTCCAAACGTAAGCTAACATTTGTTGACAACAATACGTGCTTTAACATAAAAACTATCTAAAACTACCTAACGCAGTGAATTGAGTGATAAGAAGAAAATTGTGTCACCGAGCTTATGACGTAACTTAAATACTATACGCATATTTTTGACGTCATAGGTATCAGTGAACATTCCACGCTTATGTACCGTCAAATGATTGAACAACCGCCGCCACCAAGCTGGAATACCCCGTCATATAGCAGGAATACCCCGTCATATATATCTGGAATACCCCGTCATAGAGCTGGAATACCCCGTCATATAGCTGGAATACCCCGTCATAGAGCTGGAATACCCCGTCACAGAGCTGAAATAACCCGTCACACAGCTGGAATACCCCGTCATAGAGCTGGAATACCCCGTCACAGAGCTGGAATACCCCGTCACAGAGCTGGAATACCCCGTCATAGAGCTGGAATACCCCGTCATATAGCTGGAATACCCCGTCATAGAGCTGGAATACCCCGTCATATAGCTGGAATACCCCGTCATATAGCTGGAATACCCCGTCATATAGCTTGAATACCCCGTCATATAGCTGGAATACCCCGTCATAGAGCTGGAATACCCCGTCACATAGCTGGAATACCCCGTCATATAGCTGGAATACCCCGTCACAGAGCTGGAATACCCCGTCATACAGCTGGAATACCCCGTCACATAGCTGGAATACCCCGTCACAGAGCTGGAATACCCCGTCATATAGCTGGAATACCCCGTCACATGGCTGGAATACACCGTCATAGAGCTGGGATACCCCGTCATATAGCTTGAATACCCCGTCATATAGCTTGAATACCGACGTATTGTACCTTGAAAACCGACGTCATATACCTTGAATACAGCCGTCATATACCTTGAATACCGACGTCATGTACCTTGAATACCGACGTCATATACCTTGAATACCGCGGTCATGTACCTTGAATACCGCCGTCATGTACCTTGAATACCGACGTCATATGTCGAATATTGCGGAATGCTACGTTGAACAAGAGAGAAACAAAACAACGTCAAATATCCAGAGAGCATATTTACAACATACAGGAATACCTACCTTCATCGTGTTTCTTCAGTGTATCGGGCCGAATAGGCAAAGCGAGAGGCTTTATATTCTGACTAAATAATGCACACCACGCGTGGAGGTAATAAGCTAAAACCACAATAACCACCATAAACCTAAACACATGTCATGTGCAGATGTCCCTAAGTATGCAATCACAGGAGACATATCATTATACAATCTGCTGAAATACATTATAACGGATAATATCCAGGCTGTCGTGTATTAAAGATGACTTGGACTATGTAATTATGTGCTGAGCATGGGACACCTTACAAAGGTCGGCATCAAATGTTTCCATGTCTGTCTATCAACATATCAATTCTGAAAAAATACATCTTGTTATAAACATGCAGTTAAGGATATAAGCGTCGAATCAACTGCTGTTTATATCAAGGCCATGTGGGTGTGATGACACGATAAGAGGCATTGATTTGAACCTACGCAGTCAGGGAGGCCACACGCAAAATCAGAGATCGAACCCGCTAAACCACTGCGGCGTCCACAAATATGGCAACTTCTAGTCTAGATTACGAACTTTGTGCACCCACCTGACAAGCGAAAATTGGCACGGCTCCTGTGACCGAAAGCAATGAATACACAATTCCACTGATGTCGAGTCAATACCAGTCAATTCATTCAGTGACTTGCATCAACACTGATCTCCATAATTGGGATACAGGTAGGAACCAAGTCCGCACACCTGATCACCGTACACCTGATCATCGTACACCTGATCACCGTACACCTGGCACCACGTCACACGTAGTGGATCCAGATCACATGTTTATGTTACAGGCGCAATAATACAATGGTATCGCCATTTCTTTATAAAATGGCTTTAATTAATGATTACTTTTCTCTTTCTAGTTCCATAATACATTCTGTTAAGACATCCAAGAATAACATCATTATCTTTATCTTTACAAAAATATTATATCCAGAATATCACAAGTGGTGTTGAAGAGTACATTTCGGTGATTCATACTGATCGTGCAAGACATAAACACGTGCTTTATAATATCATTGGCAACAGTTTTACAATAACATTCTCTTGAAACAACTTCAACTGATCCATAAAAAACAAATCTTGCAATATCAGTTAACTGGTGACGATTTAACCTGGCAGCAATAATCCTGCTGAAGATCTGCATAAAGAAAACTTGGTGTACCAGTTCGAGAAATTTCTCATGAATAACAGTCCCATTTCGACGCCAGCACCAGTTACAGAGAATGTTATGACAAAGTTTCAGTTAATAATACTTATGTGTTTGACAGCTTTCTAAAGAGGCATTGCAAGCCAAGTGACACTTGTCAGAGGGATACACCCAGTATGTGACCCGGACCAGCAGTCGTCAGATTTCCATGTTTGTGAAAGCAGTGGTGGCTGAGTGGGTTAGATCGCTGGCGTTGAGTGGTGGGGATTGAGTGTCTCACTCTGAGAGTATGGGCTCGAATCTGGAATGGAACTCAACCAAAAACTGTGTTAGAATCTGAACTTGACTGAGAAAGTCTAATCCCAAATATACTATTTTAACTAATATTATCAAGTCTCCATACAAACTCACACGACTTACAACTCGCTTAATTCCTAATGTTGTGAACAAACTATGATGTCATAAAATATTCTTCAGGAATTATGTTTGATGGACAGTAACCAATTATTCCTGAAACCATTTGTATACAAGTCAAGAGCAGTCAAAACAAGGTTTAAATACAATCATTTGTATACAAGTTAAGAGCAGAGTCAAAACAAGGTCTAAATACAATCAGTTGTATACAAGTTAAGAGCAGAGTCAAAACAAGGTCTAAATACAATCAGTTGTATACAAGTTAAGAGCAGAGTCAAAACAAGGTCTAAATACTATCAGTTGTATACAAGTTAAGAGCAGAGTCAAAACAAGGTCTAAATACAATCAGTTGTATACAAGTTAAGAGCACAGTCAAAACAAGGTCTAAATACAATCATTTGTATACAAGTTAAGAGCAGAGTCAAAACAAGGTCTAAATACAATCAGTTGTATACAAGTTAAGAGCAGAGTCAAAACAAGGTCTAAATACAATCAGTTGTATACAAGTTAAGAGCAGAGTCAAAACAAGGTCTAAATACAATCAGTTGTATACAAGTTAAGAGCAGAGTCAAAACAAGGTCTAAATACAATCAGTTGTATACAAGTTAAGAGCAGAGTCAAAACAAGGTCTAAATACAATCATTTGTATACAAGTTAAGAGCACAGTCAAAACAAGGTCTAAATACAATCATTTGTATACAAGTGAAGAGCACAGTCAAAACAAGGTCTAAATACAATCATTTGTGTACAAGTTAAGAGCACAGTCAAAATAAGGTATAAATACAATTATTTGTGTACAAGTTAAGAGCATTGTCAAAACAAGGTATAAATACAATCAGTTGTATACAAGTGAAGAGCACAGTCAAAACAAGGTCTAAATACAATCAGTTGTATACAAGTTAAGAGCAGAGTCAAAACAAGGTCTAAATACAATCAGTTGTATACAAGTTAAGAGCAGAGTCAAAACAAGGTCTAAATACAATCAGTTGTATACAAGTTAAGAGCAGAGTCAAAACAAGGTCTAAATACAATCAGTTGTATACAAGTTAAGAGCAGAGTCAAAACAAGGTCTAAATACAATCATTTGTATACAAGTTAAGAGCACAGTCAAAACAAGGTCTAAATACAATCATTTGTATACAAGTGAAGAGCACAGTCAAAACAAGGTCTAAATACAATCATTTGTGTACAAGTTAAGAGCACAGTCAAAATAAGGTATAAATACAATTATTTGTGTACAAGTTAAGAGCAGAGTCAAAACAAGGTATAAATACAATTATTTGTGTACAAGTTAAGAGCAGAGTCAAAACAAGGTCTAAATACAATCATTTGTGTACAAGTTAAATACAATCATTTGTATACAAGTGAAGAAACACAGTCAAAACAAGGTATAAATACAATTATTTGTATACAAGTTAAGAGCACAGTCAAAACAAGGTCTAAATACAATCATTTGTATACAAGTCAAGAGCACAGTCAAAACAAGATCTAAATACAATCACTTGTGTACAAGTTAAGAGCACAGTCAAAACAAGGTCTAAATACAATCATTTGTATACAAGTTAAGAGCACAGTCAAAACAAGGTCTAAATACAATCATTTGTGTACAAGTTGAGAGCACAGTCAAAACAAGGTCTTAATACAATCATTTGTGTACAAGTTAAGAGCACAGTCAAAACAAGGTCTAACTACAATCATTTATATACAAGTCAAGACCACAGTCAAAACAAGGTCTTAATACAATCATTTTGAACATATAAAAACAGGTTCCAATGACAGCTAACCTCACACTAGATCAGGGTAGAACTGGTCTTCAAGAACCCATGCTTGTCGTAAGAGGCGACTAACGGGATCGGGTGGTGAGACTCGTTAACCCATGTCATCGTATCCCCATTACATAGATCGATCAACTTCCTGGTCATCATGTACATACCGCTACTATATACGTAGAACATTGCTTACACAGCACACGATTAATCAACAACAAGCAATTAAGGAAACCCAAGTTCTATGGATAGTCAACTTCTTTATTGCAATGAGTGTGACGTTTCGGTGTAGGTACTAACATCGTTATCAAGCAAGTGATACAAAAAGTTGTAACATGGAGAACATATATATAGCTGCATAGTGTGTATATACAATTGAGAAGGTTGATATACATTGGATTGCTAATAAGTGATTTGAGCAGAGTAGGTTGATGTACAGAGTGATAGTAAATAAAACAATATGCAGAATGAGTATATGATGAATGTATAAAAACACTATGCAGCTATGTATATTATAAGTTGTTCACTGGTCATGAGGGGTACATCAACCCATGGGCCCCGAGGGACCAGTGAACAACGTATTTATCTTACCGAACACCTTAATGTTAATTTTGAATTGTTTGAAGCACGGGTACAAATCTTTTTGTAGCCATTGCTAGATTTTGCTGACAAGAAAAACATATTTAGAGTTATCGCCCTTCCATCGATTTGCATTCGCAAAACATCGGTAACTTCCGTACATCATACGTGATTCAATGGTATTCGAGATAAAGAATTACTACCACGAAGTACCAAATGAGTTGCCATTGACAGGAGGCTACTTTGAAATGTTACTCGCTTGCAAGCGGGTTACATTAAAAATAATAGAAACAGCCAATCAGAAAGCGATATTTATGTGTGAGGTAAGATAAATATGTATATATAACTCTTTGTATCACTTGCTTGATAACGGTCTTAGTACCTACATCGAAACGTCGCCACCCATTGCAATAAAGAAGTTGACTATCCATAGAACTTCATCTATACAACTTCTAAAATGCCTCTCAAAGAAGGAACAATCAATTAGCAAACATTCGGAAAGGCCATTGTCTATTAATTTCAAAATGATTGATATGACAACCATTACAATCTGCAATCAGTGGCAACACGTGCAGGGTAAGGATATATCAGTTACTTATCTATACAGACATTCAGTCATTTTATATCTTCATTGTCGGTGACATTGATGTATTCCATGAGTAATTTGTATTTACACCATTCAAAAGAATGAATGCATTTATAAATAAGGTATTAAACGTAATTTTCACTGCGATATATTCTTTGTAACCTCATCCACTCAATCTCCTGAACATGATATACTCTCACATATGACTTGAAGATCTCTCGGAGAATGCTGTTACATCCACGTTGGACAAGGGTTTGTGTATATGTAGTGGAATGCACCTGACGCCGGCATTAAAATGAATGAGAACACGGAATGAAATCTCTAGGACACAGGTTTGCAATATTGATTCAACATCCCTAAACATCCCAACATCCCTGGAGTCTTGTTCTTAAGGTATACCAGAGGAGGCAACTATTTCTACTAATCTCACAGTACATCCCACGTTGCAAGAACACCAGCCATTCTGTGGAGATCATTCCTACCCTTGGTACCTAGCCTTGGCCTATTTGGGGGAATTCACAACTGCTGTCATGAGATGGGAAAAATTACCTATAACGCTTTATAAGAATACACACAGTAAAGTATGATATATGCATAGAAAAGGGACAAGCGTTGGTTCATACATGGGGAATGTTGTTTCATATCTGAACCAACGCTTGTCTCAATTCAGCAAACGTCAATGGCTGATTCTTGGCTTGACGTAAACGTCGGTCCATTTCATCCCAAGCATGCTCGATAAGGGTCAGGTCTGGAGAAACAGTTGGCAAGGGGAGAACCGGAATTTTCTGCTGTGTCAGGAAATCTGACACAACACGAGCGACATGTTGACGGTGTCCTTATCCCTACATAGCAGACCTGTCAAATTGCCATTGACAATGACAAGTTGTGTCCGACCATGAGATGTGATGCTCCCCCATACCATAACGCTTTCGTCACCAAACTGTCGACGTTGAACAACGCAAGCGTCAGTATACCGTTCACCTCGCCGTCCGTCCATTGCTCTGCCATCTGAGCTGTTCAGATGAAATCTTGACTCTTCAGTGAACAAACCACTGTCCCAATCTTGTCTCCTGGGCCTAGATTTTCGAAGCTCTCTTACCGCTAAGATAGACGTAACTTAATGTTAATGTATGGCACTTACGACTATCTTAGCGCTAAGAGAGCTTCGAAAATCTAGGCCCTGTACTGTAGATCCTGTTTGCACCAGGCATAATGTGCCTGTCGGTCCTCAGTTAGACGTATTGCAGGCCGGATGTTGTGCTCCCTCAGTCGGTTCCGTACAGTCCTGGAACTGATTGGACGTAAGCCAGGAATGGTCCGTGCAGTCAAACTGGCAGTCTGGAATCGATTCCTTACATAGATCGGCTGAATATGGTTGTCTTGCTGACGTGACGTCACGCTTGGACGGCCGGTCCGAGGCAAATCTCTCAAGTTCCCATTATGTTCAAAACGCCTCCATGGAGATGAGATCGTGTTTCGATCGACACCAAAATGTCTGTCCACTTCGCTTCGGTGTTATGCACCGTTACTTTTTCCCGTTAGCATACATTCTAAGGTCTGTAAGTCTTGTCAGTTGTGACTTCCATCATAGCCCCGAGTCTCATCTCAGTTTACAAGGGCAACGTCCTTTATGGCGTAGTTTGCCAGAAAAGCAATTAATCCAGGATATATGTTGATATATATTTATATTTGGATGCCATATGTTTGACATACATTGGCTACAGTTGGTTACACAAAAATATAATTATATACATCTATATACTATTCAGAGACAGTGACACATACTGTCACATTTCACGTAGAATCAAATCATTTACATGAATATAGCTGGGAGTGCTGCTCCTGGAACCCCTCCCTTACCTAAGGTATCAAATGACAAATGATAATGTTTTATTCGTTTGTAGTTCACTATGAGCATATTACAGGGATACATAACTTCGCACATAATTTACATTACACATTTTCCCCAGTGTTAATCAAACTGTGCCTTTTCTCATAACTTTGAGATATATATTTATATAGTTTTCTCAGTAAACCAAGGTGGATCGAAGAGAGAAGTATGATGATATATTTAAGCAGATAGATGTGTCTTATGTTCTTATAGGAATTATATATCAAGATGAAAAGATATTCATCTTCAATCCCCAAATCTAACCCAACCTTTCTCCCCTAGTTAATTTTCCACCTTAATAACACCCGGTTTATCAACTTATTGCACTGTTTTCTTTCTGTTGGAAGAGTGAGATACTTTTCAGGTTCGATAGGCTTTTAAACTATACTATTCCAAAAGAGAAACGCATAGGCCAGAAATCTGTTGCGAAATTGTTGTATTTTCAAACATGTATAACTCGTCCACAAATAAACTTTAGTACATGATTTTTACACCAGTTTAGAAGAAGGTACTGTCTATACAACCAAGTGGATACTTTTATATAAAGGAGACGTTGTGCGTGATGGTGACGACGTAGCACGGTCCCGACGTCGGGTCCCCTGGCTGTCAGTCCAATCTCTTTCAACCTGTTCCGTACAGTTTGACCGGATATCCTCCGAAGTCCAGGCACCCTGGCTGCTGTGCTCTCATCCGTGGCAGTACGATCACGCAGATGTAGTACATGGATGTACCGATCTTGGGCTGCAGTAGTGACTCGAGGTCTGCCTGTATGGGGACGGTCATTTGTTATACCTGTTTGCTTGTAACGAGCTGCAAGCCGTTATACCGTGTTCAGACTAACATTCAGACGCCTGAGAACAGAAGATTGGTAATCTCCAGCGTGCATTCTTTCAATTGCGATGTTCCGTGTCGCAGCGTCAATGCGTTTCTTTCTTGGGATAGTATATATATGTTGTATCTCGAGCTTTGTTCTATAGTACTGTTCCAAGATTGATGACAATTATCAATTTCAATTTGCTTAAACAGTTAAGGAAACGTAAACTTATCGCGAACAATCCATGCGATTCCAAATCTCTGCGAGAGCAATCAAGTACGTACAGCAGATGCATAGGTTGGACATCCACAGTTATCATAGTACACAAGCATATCATAGTCTAGATCTTTCTATGGGATTCTTGTCGTTGTGCATTTCGATAAGTTTAAGACAGTATTATACAACGACAGACTGTATTTATATAAAGGATATCGGCCACATTCCCCATGTAATTACATCATTTGCATTATCGTGTACCCGGCCAGAGCGATCTATAGCGACATATCTGTACAATATTAAGTTTAAGACAGTATTATACAACGACAGACTGTATTTATATAAAGGATATCGGCCACATTCCGCATAAGGTAATTACATCATTTGCATTATCGTGTACCCAGCCAGAGCGATCTATAGCGGCATATCTGTACAGTATTAAGTATAAGACAGTATTATACAACGACAGACTGTATTTATATAAAGGATATCGGCCACATTCCGCATAAGGTAATTACATCATTTGCATTATCGTGTACCCAGCCAGAGCGATCTATAGCGGCATATCTGTACAGTATTAAGTATAAGACAGTATTATACAACGACAGACAGTATTTATATAAAGGATATCGGCCACATTCCCCATAAGGTAATTACATCATTTGCATTATCGTGTACCCAGCCAGAGCGATCTATAGATCTACAGAGCGGCATATCTGTACCGTATTAACAAATTTACGTCAATCGATCACAATCAGCTCCATTAATATCATTGTCTGCTAATTCCCTACTTCAACACTTTATTCAGATACATAGAGTGAGTTTAGTTTTACGCCGCACTCAGCAATATTCAAGCTATATGGCGGTCAGATACATAGAGATTAACACGACGCATTCGATAAAACACCAGGGACACTATAAGATAGATTCCATTTTAGTTTATTCAATTTGATGTCATTTTGCAGGTTTTTGTCACTGACCATATTGAGAATAGGACGGTTTTGTGTTCACAGTGCACGTGAAGCCTCCAGGTGGATGCTTTTATGTCAGCTTCCTTTCAAGGTGCTTCCACACACACACACACACACACACAGGAGTGAGGAGTGGGTTAAAATTTAACGTCACCTAGGCAATATTTCAGCCATATAGTGACAAGAAAGGTTTCTCATGCACAATAAATATAAGTTGTTAAATACCCAGTCATCGAAGGACTGCAGCTACAGGAACAAACGACTTGACGCTGCAACAAGTTGGTTATTTATTCCTTTTGGTCTATCTCAGAGGTGACCCTCATCCCTTACCTTCCCTGACAAGTACAGCTTGTTGTCACAGCTTGCCAGGAAACCAATTAATCCAGCCCAACTGGCTGCCAGCTGCGCTCCGGTTTTAACATGCATTTGATACAAATGGTTACAGAAAATAATATAGCTGTATTTATTCACATTCTATTCAATGTGGTCAATAGGATATACAGTTTCCTCTCAATGAAATCTTTATAATGAATATCCGTTAATGTATTAAATCCGGGACTGTAACTCCTGGCTACAAGCCAAATCTTCCACAACGTCATGTAGATGGCCTATTGTCAAGAGACGCTTGAAACACTCTCACTCACTCACTCACCTTTCCTGTTAGTGAGAAATGTATGATCCTGTGAACTTAAATGCAGTACGTGGTAACTGTATTGTCAATACTACACACAATGCTGAAATGAAATGTTATTTCCAGAAGAGTTTATTGCATTATCTAACGACATAAACCATTCTCCCGAGACTATCAGTTGAGTGTTTGTTGAGTTATGTTGGCATACACCATCCCCAATATGGCGACTGGTTCTTGTTGACTCCCCATGAGAGGGTCTTTTGTCCGTGTGTCTTCAAGTAGATCTATGACCAACTGTAGATGGCAGGCTGGTGTTTGTGTTCACACAGAACAGTTATTCATGTGTGTCAACCTGGATGTGCCTCGCTTGGCCGGTGTGGTGTTGAGTCTCTGTGTGTTACTGGTTACTCCAGACTGGGCTGACTGTTGTCTATAAGCCTGAGTAGTAACCTTCCGTGTCCTCCGGTGTTTAAATGGTATTACCTTTCTTTCGGTAAGTTTACAAAAGCGTTAATTAGTGTAGACATACATAGATATGGTGCATTGGTAAAACTCTGCTTCTACCTATCAAACATCATTTTGTTGCTTTTTGACGTGTAATGATCCACGCATCTTCATCCTTACAACGGCGTCCTGTAGACAGACGAGTCTGGACCAGATGCTCTGGTGATTGATAAAGTTTAGTAAAATGTTTAAATACTTCATATTATGTTTTTAATGTGAGGCTGATATTTCCAAACTGAATGGACAAGATGAAGGTAAAGAAATGTCTCCGCGGGCACCTGCTGCTGCTGGCCACCGTCCTGTCTATAGTGATGGGGGTGACTATCGGGATGCTGTGCCGTCAGCTGAAACCCTCTGCTGGAACCATCCTGATCATCGGCTTCCCGGGAGAACTGCTCATGAGAATGTTGAAGCTGCTCATCCTCCCCTTGATAGTTGCCAGTTTAATCACAGGTTGGTGGATGATTTAGTTACAGGCTGTATCTAGGTGCTTTGTAAATATCTCAGCTGTCACAGTGGTCTGTAAATATTCCAGCTGTCACAGTGGTCTGTAAATATCTCAGCTGTCACAGTGATCTGTAAATATCTCAGCTGTCACAGTGGTCTGTAAATATTCCAGCTGTCACAGTGATCTGTAAATATCCCAGCTGTCACAGTGGTCTGTAAATATCTCAGCTGTCACAGTGATCTGTAAATATTCCAGCTGTCACAGTGGTCTGTAAATATCCCAGCTGTCACAGTGGTCTGTAAATATTCCAGCTGTCACAGTGATCTGTAAATATCCCAGCTGTCACAGTGGTCTGTAAATATTCCAGCTGTCACAGTGATCTGTAAATATCCCAGCTGTCACAGTGATCTGTAAATATTCCAGCTGTCACAGTGGTCTGTAAATATCCCAGCTGTCACAGTGGTCTGTAAATATTCCAGCTGTCACAGTGGTCTGTAAATATCCCAGCTGTCACAGTGATCTGTAAATATTCCAGCTGTCACAGTGGTCTGTAAATATCCCAGCTTTCACAGTGGTCTGTAAATATTCCAGCTGTAAAGAGTGATCACAGTGATCTGTAAATATCTCAGCTGTCACAGTGATCTGTAAATATCTCAGCTGTCACAGTGGTCTGTAAATATCCTCAGCTGTCACAGTGGTCTGTAAATATCCCAGCTGTTACAGTGGTCTGTAAATATCCCAGCTGTCACAGCGGTCTGTAACATATCCAGCTGTCACAGCAGTCTGTAAATATCCCAGCTGCCACAGTGGTCTGTAAATATTCCAGCTGTCTCTGGAGGTACTCCAGCCATATCACGGATAAACCTAAGTAAGATCCGTTTTGGACATGATTGGGAACTGGAATCTGTACTTTCGACAATCCCAGGGTTTTGGTCACAGTTTGTTCATGGTGATGGTAGGTTTGTTGGGTAGCATGCATACTGACCCTGCAGACCCTTTCTCATCTTTAATCCAATATGTGAGACTCTACGCCTTCCACTGTACTCAGTTGGTGGGGAATACTACCATGCATGTCATCTCTGATATAGCTTATATATTTACATGGTTGTAATGACCACTGGAGGTCGTTGACACAGCAGTTGTCCATTTTGGGGTATAACTCATAGGGTTAAAGAAGGCACCACTTAAGAGCGAATAAGTGTATGTTCGATGTGAATCTAAATTACGTTGTAATTTTGGTCTACTACTTATCAATTAATCATATCAATTAACGTGCAGCGGGATGGAGAGGTGTTTCACACATGTAAGACTTTCCCGAGAAATGTCAGTTTCGCTGCCTCATACCGGCAAGCCGGTGAGTTTGTACTTTCAACTAACTCGAGACAAGAAGTCAATTTATGATATGATATTTCCACCCCAAAGGGCCGACCATTTGATAACCAGTGAGGAGAAAGGACATTTTGTTCAAACTAATTTAATGGTCCTCTGAACAATATTGCAATGTGGTGATGAAATATATGTTTTCTACTTGTATCTGAGAAGAAAAAGATTTTCAAGCTTTGTCATGATAATTCAGTATGACATTGATGTTCAAGGAATCGCAAATTTAGACGGCAAGTCAGCTGGTAAAATGGGCGTGGTGACGCTGGCCTACTACATCAGCAATCTCACCACCGTCGTGGCTCTGGTTGTCGGTCTTACGCTCGTCCTCGCCATCAGACCGGGAGTAGGCAACACGATGGCGTCCACCACACAGGAGAGGCTGGAGCAGCTCCACATCTCTCGCCCATGGATGCCTCTCTGGATCTCCTCAGGTACCCTCGTCGTCCCTTGCTAGATATGTACAAACACATACACGGGTATGGGTATATTGTCCATCATTCTCAGTGGAGATTATTATGTTTTGTTGTATGTTGATTGGCTAGTTTGTAACAATTGTTCCATTGTTTTCATTGAGGCTAAGAGCATTGTGACGTCATATGAACCCACCGTTGAAGGTAATTACAGATGACGAAAGGAGTTATGTTACGTCATAACAATACACTGACAGAACTGATACTCAGAACGGTAATGTACAGAATATCACCAACACAACTTAGGTTACCATTCCACGGTGAAGCAATGTTGAAGATTTATATGAGGAGATATGACAATACAATAACTGTTAACGTGATAAACACCGGTGTTGAACCGTGGGCCCCTAAGGTATACCTGCTACTATACATTGAACCCTGGTGAATACCTGCTACTATACATTGGACCCTGGTGAATACCTGCCACTATACAATGGATCCTGGTGAATACCTGCTACTTTACATTGGACCCTGGTGAATACCTGCTACTTTACATTGGACCCTGGTGAATACCTGCTACTATATATTGGACCCTGGTGAATACCTGCCACTATACATTGGACCCTGGTGAATACTTACCACTTTACATTGGACTCTGGTGAATACCTACCACTATACATTGGACTTTGTTGAATACCTGCCATTATACATTGGACCCTGGTGAATACCTGCTACTTTACATTGGACACTGGTAAATACCTGCCACTATACATTGGACCCTGGTGAATACCTACCACTATACATTGGACCCTGGTGAATACCTACCACTATACATTGGACCCTGGTGAATACCTACCACTATAAATTGGACCCTGATGAATACCTACTACTATACATTGGACCCTGGTGAATACCTACCACTATACATTGGACCCTGGTGAATACCTGCCACTATACATTGGACCCTGGTGAATACCTTCCACTATACATTGACCCTGGTGAATACCTTCCACTATACATTGACTCTGGTGAATACCTGCCACTATACATTGGACTCTGGTGAATACCTTCCACCATACATTGGACCCTGGTGAATACCTGTCACTATACATTGGACCCCAGTGAATACCTACCACTATACATTGGACTCTGGTGAATACCAACCACTCATACATTGGACCCTGGTGAATACCTACCACTACCCTATATACATTGGACCCTGGTGAATACCTACCACTATACATTGGACCCTGATGAATACCTACCACTATACATTGGACCCTGGTGAATACCTACCACTATACATTGGACCCTGGTGAATACCTGCTACTATACATTGGACCCTGGTGAATACCTCTTCCACTATACATTGGACCCTGGTGGTGAATACCTTCCACTATACATTGACTCTGGTGAATACCTGCCACTATACATTGGACTCTGGTGAATACCTTCCACTATACATTGGACCTTCTGGTGAATACCTGTCACTATACATTGGACCCTGGTGAATACCTCTATACCACCACTATACATTGGACCCTGGTGAATACCTGCCACTATACATTGGACCCTGGTGAATACCTACCACTATACATTGGACTCTGGTGAATACCAACCACTATACATTGGACCCTGGTGAATACCTACCACTCATACATTGGACCCTGGTGAATACCTACCACTATACATTGGACTCTGGTGAATACAACCACTATACATTGGACCCTGGTGAATACCTACCACTATACATTGGACCCTGGTGAATACCTACCACTATACATTGGACTCTGGTGAATACCAACCACTATACATTGGACCCTGGTGAATACCTACCACTATACATTGGACCCTGGTGAATACCTACCACTATACATTGGACTCTGGTGAATACCAACCACTATACATTGGACCCTGGTGAATACCTACCACTATACATTGGACTCTGGTGAATACCTACCACTATACATTGGACTCTGGTGAATACCAACCACTATACATGGGCCCGTGAGAATACCTGCCGCTTTAATGGGCCCGTGGGAGGAATACCTGCCGCTGTATATGGGCCCCTGAGGAATACCTGCCGCTGTATATGGGCCCCTGAGGAATACCTGATGCTGTATATGGGCCCCTGAGGAATACCTGCCGCTGTATATTGGCCCGTGAGGAATTCCTGCCGCTGTATATGGGCCCGTGAGGAATACCTGCCGCTGTATATGGGCCCCCTGAGGAATACCTGATGCTGTATATGGGATTCCCCTGAGGAACCACCTGCCGCTGTATATGGGCCCCTGAGGGAATACCTACCGCTGCTTCTACGGGCCCCTGAGGAATACCTGCCGCTGCATATGGCCCGTGAGGAATACCTGTTGCTGTATGGCCCGCGGAAGAATACCTGCCGCTGTATATGGCCCGTGGAGGAATACCCTGAACTGTATATGGGCCCGTGAGGAATACTGCCGCTGTATATGGGCCCGTGAAGAATACCTGCCGCTGCATATGGGCCCGTGAGGAATACCTGATGCTGTTTATGGGCCCGTGAGGAATACCTGCCGCTGCATATGGGCCCGTGAGGAATACCTGCCGCTGTATATGGGCCCCTGAGGAATACCTGCCGGGCTGTATATGGGCCCTTTAGGAATACCTGCCGCTGTAAAGGCCCGTGAGGAATACCACCTGATGCTGTTTATGGGCCCGTGAGGAATACCTGATGCTGTGGTATACTGCTCACATGGCGCAGGTGACAAGATCTATACCTGAGTGAGGATGAAACATCAAGATCGTGCTGCAACTTCAGTTAAAAACGTGTTTTGTGTGTGTCAGTGGGTCGTTGTACTGCTACCTTTCACACACTGTAAATGATTTCAGGTTGGTTCCAATACATGAAGCCCAAATCTCAGTAACGTAGGTTTTTCTATCTGTCAGCGATGCCGGACTGACGATGTTATCTTTTAAGGAAGACAATATTGTATATTTTCACTGGGTGTTTTAACGAGTATATACCCACTCGATGTCAAAATGAAAGGAGAAAATAACTACATTAAAATGACGCCTGGATTTGGACTGTTAGGTGGAAACAGCAGCCAGTCACGCTGAATACATTGGGTGAATCCTGCTTGGGTGAAGCACGCTGTTGCCGTTAACAACTGAACCATTGCCAGCGTACAGCTGAAAAGGCATAGTGCCATATTGGCGGACCTTGTGAACACCTCCGGAAAAAACAACAACACTGTTCATCACAACATTATATCACAAATAATTCCTTTAACAAAAAATGGTGGTAGGCGTAAGTTTGAAAGTTCCTCGTAATAATTAGTGATGGGTACTGTTTTGATATCAGCAATGGTTGTCTTTTCATATTTTCAACAAGTGTAACAACATTTTCTTGGAGACAAAAATACAAATTACAGCACTTATGGGCCCTTTTCAGAAACATCGTACCTGAGAACATCGTGCAGGCAGCCATTCAGCAAACGGGAACGAAATATGTTGACAAGGGGAGAACGGGCGTGAATACGTCCCATGTCACCCAGGATCCAGGAAGAAATACTTCCTATGAAGAAGCACCGCCCCTAAATATGACTCCGCCACAGGCCACAGACAGAGGTACACTGGGAACAGAAGAGTGTATGTTACAGGGATGAACACAATTGGTGAGAGAACAACATATTCAACATAGTTTATCCATAGGATTCAAACATTGACCTTCATTCGTGGGTTATATTGGGATGTTTGCCCCTTCAACTATTTTCACAAAACGTCCTGTATATTAATTGTATTAATTTATTTTTATTTTTATTTTTGGGGTGTGGGGGTGGGGGGGAGTGCTGAATATATTATTGTTTTTTCATAATTTATGAAGCGGAAACTAGAATTGACCTAAAGATACATATCCTAAAACGGTGGTATTTTCTTTAAAAAAATCCTTAAACATAGTTTTAAATAACCAATAGTTATATCTCTTCGAAAATCGATCGACCATGTTCGCCCGCTAGACAACATCGGCGAAACGCTTTACGCCAATGCCGCACCAGAAATAAAAGAAAAAACTCCTATTATAGCATTTAATAGAATTTGGCATCTAAAAATCTAAAGGTAAATTCGTTAGACGGCCACTTGCCAGGCAGGGTGGGATTGTACAGCCCGACTGATCTTCTTGGAAGCCCAAGCCAAGCAAAGCCGAGTAAATAATAATATCATTAAAAACTATGTTTTAAGCAACTTGTTATTTCAAATATTACCACAGTTTTAGCATGTATCGTCAGGTCAAATTTCGATTCCACTTCATAAATAAAAAAGGCATATTCTCAAAAATAGTTTATAAAAAGAACCTTTCGTGAAAATATTTTGAATTCTTTCGCAAGTTGATTACTAACCCAAGGTCGCCCCTGCTACCCGTTGGACACACCGTTGTAAGATGGCTTCATATAGCCCCTGAAACGCTAAAATATATGCATTGATATTACCCATTCAAAAGTCTTCATTTATATAAAGTAATAATTTACATTACTTCAAAAATGTCGGAGAAATGATTTAAAAGGCTTTTACTGTATATCTCCATTAAGATTTCATTCCGACGTTTCTCGGCCATTTGTGTTGTTGTATTGACCTTCATCATGGGCAGATGTTGCGGGAAGGACGGGACATGCGCACTCATTATACCTATGATTTCAAAAGTGCTTTGTAAGTCTCTTTTGAATTTTGTAATTGAAGTTATGATATCAAAAGGTTTCACCAGATTCCGTTGTAATCCCTAGGAACATATCTGGTACCACCCACACTGCCTAGTCTCAAGGACGTTTTGAGATGATGGACATCACCGCTGTGTGCACCCCGTCGCAAGCATGTGTCGTTGTTGTTGCTATCAGTGTTTATTTTCCAGAACCGAGTGTTATATAGCTCTTGCCGATATATTTGTACGTGAAACAACATTCGCTCATGACTGTGGTCTGCCCCACAGGTATACTGACGTACCAAAGTGTTGTATTCGGGCTGTGTTTTGAGCAGGCCTCGGAAAGTCTGGTGAAGTGATGCTAAGATTCTTCTTCTCTCTCATTGACATCACCATGGCAATGGTTACCCTTTGTTATTTGGTACGTATTGAGAACGGGGACCTTTCTTAATCTGATGCCCGATATTTCCTGACAGGTTACTGGGGAAATAAAAGCATTTCAAGTCCATTTGTTTTTCTTGAAATTTCCAAGATACTCTAATTGAAATTTAAACTTAGCATCAGGACATTTCAAGAATATGTTTAGAAAGGTTTTAGAAAATATAAACCTATAATATGCATAGCATTGCTTATATATGTATATTTTCGAAGTTTTGGAAGTGTGGTTATGTGTTCTCTTTCTTATCTGTTATATACTCATGAATGAGCTACATTAGTTAACGGGAGCAATATATCAGTGTTTGGTTATAAGCTAGCCCTGATCTAGATACGCTGTACAGTGACACAACACCTGTGTAGGTATTCACCTGTTGGGGATCCTGTTCCTAACAATGTCCAAGATCCTGGCTGTGGACGATCTTACACTGACCACAGGTCGCCAGCTTGGCATGTACATGATCATCAACCTTGTTGGGTAATTTTTGCTGTCCACTCCGCCATCGTCCTCACTCATCTACTCTGGCTCACCAGGAAGAACCCCTACAGGATCATATTAAGGATTCTCTCAGGCCCCAGTCACAGCAGTCGGAACTAATTCAAGGGTTTGATATTTATTGTAAAACATAATGGCATATCAACGATTTGGTTGGGTGTTGCTTTATAGCCACAGCAGTTCTGGTATATGGTCGTGGCCTTGGAATAATTGATACAGACTGAGTGAGTTTAGGTTTAAGCCGCGTTTTGGAATATTCCAGCGTATATGACGGCGGGGGACAGCAGAAACGGGTTTCACACATTGTGCCCTGTGGGGAATCGAAACACGGGTCTTTGGTGTGACGAGCGAACGCTTTAACCACTATGCTACCCCACCGCCCCTTGATAGTGTGAGTAGGATCCCCGAGGACATCGCTTTCACCTGAGCCTGGAGTTCCCATGTCACGGCATCTAACAACCAGGTTACTTGGGACTGATTCTACACGGCAAACCTGACAGATTGTACTCTCTACATTCTGGGAACCACTTATTGTTTTGTTTGCGATATCTGGTACACGAAATCTCGCCGCATTTAAGAGGGTGGTGGGTTGGCCTAGTGGTTAAAGCGTCGGTACGTCACGCCGAAGACCTGTCTGGTTCTACACATGGGTACAATATGTAAAGTCCATTTCCGGTGTATCCCAATTATATAGCTAAAAGCAGCATAACCACACTCCACTCACCCAATTCTTACTCATATTTAGAGACAAGCAAGAGTAAGAAAAATGACCGAATTGTCTGTTGAACAAACGATGGACGTGTGGATCCCTCCATGCGAGTTCCGAGTAGGTAATTATTATTGTTATTACAAGGAATGAAATACATGAACAAAATGTCAGAGTCTAAAACAATTATATAAGGAAATATATTAAACGTATTTAAGTGTACATAAGTCGATTACGCTTGAACATAGATGAAGGAAATTCGACACACGGAAGAACATACGTATTGTCGTCACCAAGTCAGCTATTAATTCCAGTTCACTCACTGCACATGTGGACACAAGGGGCGTTCAGGCCAGTACCTACTGGTGACACCAACCATTGCTGCCACGTCACTGTTCTACACCGCCTTGGAAGGGATTGCACAAGTCGTCGGATTTTTGGTTGGTGAATTTTCGCCATTTCCCCTGAAACGCGTGGTCAAGTTCTGGCAAGTTTCTGAGGACAATGGTGACGTTTAGACGCGACAGTGAAGTTCATCCCATGGATGCTCGATCAGGTTCCAGAGCAGCCAGGAAAGGAAACTGACGTTTGCATTGGCGAGATAGGCACCTGTTACACTGAGCTGTGTGAGGTCGAGCGTTGTCATATTAAAACAGCTCCCTCTAGCGGTTAAAAGAGGGAGGAGGCGAGGTCGTAGGCTTTGCTGTAAAGTTGCCCTGAACATCCACTCAGCCTTGATCTACCCGTGTAGGACAAGGCTCCTTACACCATGACGCTTTCTCCACCAAATATGTCCACCTGTCGAACGCAGCTCGGCGCAAAACTTTGGAATCGACGTCGATAGAGACGTTGTTTCCCACCTCGTTGCCAGAGGGAGGAAACGCTGGGATTCATCAAGCGTTGAACCAAACACGTTGGCAGTTCCCCAAGTTCCATGCCTGTAGCCTGTTGCACAATTGGACGCGTCGTTGTCGGTGTAGACCAGGGACCTGCC